GGTAGGCAATTACGTTCTGCTGTTCAGCTCACGATCCAAGCGCACGACGTCCATGAAATAGGCGCGGGCCGTCTACTCGAAGAGAAGTATTCGTATCGTACACGAAGAGGTTCTCGAGTATGACTAAACTATAAACCTTTTGCTTTCCCCTGCTATTCGTGTCTTCCCCGTATGGAGAAGGAGAAGGATGACTCGGGCTGATTTACGATACGAGAATGTGAAAGGGCCCCGGCGGAGAACGGAATAGGTCAGCAAACGAGCCAGGAAGGCGGCTGTGCGTAAAGGCACGAGACTCTTCGTCTTTACCTTAATATGACGTACGCCGTAGGATATATGGATTGTGGGTGGTCTTGATTTTTCCTTCAATTTCTTGTTGAGTCGCTGTTTACTTTGCGTCGTTGGCATTTGACACAAAGTCGGCAGCTCTTCTTCTCAGGGACCTTGACAACACTGCCGTTTAGAGTCCAGCACTCAAAACGTCGGCCCACTTCTTTATGCGCGGACCGTGTAATTGGATCGTTGGGGGTCATAAATGGGGTCATCAAACTCGGGCCAAGCCCTCGACTCCTACAGCGCATCCTTTTTGGATGCGGCTATTGCAGGCGAGTCCTTACAAGGTGTGCGCACAAGACAGTCGTGGATGCTGTTAGAATCACATACCAGAGGGGCAACACGAGGACCACGATGTTGGCTCCTTGTTTTCGTCCTCAAAAGGAAGGTTGCGTCTGTCCGGCTCGTGTCTTCAACGTTCCACATTTCTGTCATTTTATGTTCTCTAAGATACTTTTCTTTTCTCTTTTTATTCCGCACTGACTTTCCCCGTGCCGAAGATATGGCAGAACCTTTTCGAAGGTGGTGTCGGAGCAAGGGCACATCATGGCACAGAAGACCATGAAATACTCCATAGTACCACGCCCGGCATCGCATTTGACACATTAGGGAAATCTTCGAGGTTTGCACGTGTTATTTTGAGCCCCTTAGTGTATAGTGACAACAGGAAGACAGCGAGGAATGTGAATGAGGACAGAAATGTAGCCATAAAAACCAAGGCGATACCAACAGTCCAGAACAAGGGTCCAGTAGAGATGGAGGGGGCGTGCGATGTTGGAACTGTGTCCGTTGGAGGGGGTTGCATGGACAGGGAGGTTCATAAGTCGTTGAAAGAACGAGAAATAAAACCAACGGGAGGGAATCGCGACACAAAGCGAGGGTGTGCAGCCCTGTCGGGACAGGCCCCGACGGAATGCGCAGAAGGGATGAAGGCGAAGGTGTTCGGGGACGAGAAAGAGAAAAGAAAGATGTCTTGCGAAATACGAGACAAATAATGTGGAATGCAAGAGCGCGAAAAGTGATTTGCAGAATGTGCAGCACGAGAATTGAAGGATTGGAGGACGCAGCTGAGATTCGCCCAACGAAAAAACAACAGACCACAAAGAGGCTTGAAGCTGAAAGCATTCATTCCCGTCTCTCTGATGGTGGGAAACACAAGGAAAGGACCGATGTGATAGAGTTGCAGATAAAAACGGTACGATATAAACGACAGGATGAAGGCTGCTCGAAGCCTGCATGAAGGCTCCATTGAGATGTGAAGTCTTGGCTGCGGGGCGACGGGCAGGCCGTGTTGCAGACTTGACGAAACAATGACAAGGGAGGCGGCGTCGAGGCCTTGCCTGAACGGGTGAGAGCGCAGAGGACAGAGGCTCAGGAGAATGGAACCGGAACAACGGTTCTAAGGCCCAGGTGTCGGAGTGCCAGGCCGCTGGAGTGCGCAGACAGGCAAGAATGTGCGACGAGGTTGTATCGTTCCGTCCTGTCTAGCCGAGCGAGTTGTCAACCTCCATGTGTTCTTAACTCATTTTTTTGGCTGTTTTCTTTGTAGTGGTGTTTCCTCCCTGAAACCGGCGTGTCTGCAACCCACGAACCAGGGCGGCGGTGACATGGCCAACAAGTAGGTAGTAGGTTTTCAAACGGCGTAGGGAACGAACCAACAGGACAAAAGTAACGACAAACAGTAAAAGACCGTCTTCAAATAGTATTGTCGTAAAGGATGCGATTCCTACTGGAACACCGTAAGGACAGCTGTGCCCCTCCGACGTCGTACTTCAGTTCTCCGAATGGCAAGGCCGGTGCCACAGTGTCTGAGTGTGATTGGTGATGTGGGAGACAGGAAGAGGCCGTGAATCTGTAGACAAATGAAGCGCGGTTGCAGTCGCAAATTTTATTCTGCATTGTGATGGATTGTGATATGGCTATGTGTGCTCCTTCCGTCCATTCTCCATCTTCCTCTCCTTACCGGAGTTGTCAACTTCTACGCCCCCGTTGCTCCTTCCTCCCTCTCATAGTACGCCTTCCTTTTTGGGATTTGCAGCCCTGTATGTGTTGCGATGCCGCTTCAATCCGCAGGAAGGAGGGAGGGCAGGTACGACATAAGTGCGTGACCCTGGCGGGCTTTTGTCTGGCCTGCAGCGCATGGGAGAATGCTGTCAGTTCGACATGCCTGACACGCACTGCTCCGCGAAGGGTCCCCTGTCCCGCCCTGTCATGTCCCTGTCCTGTCGCCCACGACTTATGCCGACGGCCGGAGCTTTTCTGTTTCTTGGCAACGTGCCGAGTTACCATCATGGCTGTTGCGCGCTTCTCGGCTGTCTGTTGTTTTGCGCATACTTTGTAGGACTTTGCGAAAAGGTGAACATAATTCGACAGCAAATTCGACAGCAAATTCGACGTCCACAACTCCGTACCTTTTTGCGACTTTGCCGTCCATATCGCCACCTCCACTTCGGGATGTCGTCTTTCTTTGCCCATCGTGCCTTCCTTCTGTTCGTCCCTGCCGTCCGCGAGTAGTCCCGCGTGTTTGTACCTTCCCCAAGGGGTGAACGGCAGCGCAAAATAAAAAGGGGAACCGCAAAGGAAAGAGGCCAGGACGAGGCAAGGAAGGCGACAAAGTGGATTCCGACATCAAGCATCGAAAATGCCCAAATTACAGTATACAGCAGAAGACACAATGGCAGCACGTTGGTCTCCCCCGACGTGTGAAATGCCCGTTTGCCTGTTGGGACTAGACGACGCATATTCTTGACCCTACTGGCCTTTGTTTCCGCTACCGACAAAAGACGATACCGATGGCAAGGGTCTAGAGAGCGTCTGGACCTGTTGGAACCAGATGCGCGACCAGCGACGAAGAACCACAGGAGAGGAGAAGAACAAAGGGCATATCCTGTTCAGGAAAGTGTCTCCATCCATTGTCTTCGTCTCCCCGCATCCCCCATCGGGCCTCTGGCGTCGCTGGTCGTCGTTTTGCTCCCTGTCTCCTGTCGATGGCTGATGGGGCCGGTCTTTGATACTTTGCCATCTTGACGCCTCGAACGTCTCGACTTTCCGCAGGTCGCCCTTCGCCTTCGACTTTCGCCTCTGGCCGTTTCTACAGCGGCACCAGAAGAGGGGAACGCACCCACCGGCTCTGGTCTGCCCCCCGTCTCCCAAGGCTGCAAAAGGGTTGTCTGCTAAGTGTCTATTCTGCGTGCTGTTGGCGATCGTGATGGTTGCAAGACCCAGCCACGAGCCTTGCATAGTGCTACCCGGGGAGTGTGCCTGTTGGCTGCCCTCCAACGCGCTGTTTTGGCCAGACGGCGCATGGGGCGAGTGGCTATCGAAAGGGGGTGGCCAATTCTTATTTTTTACACTTTCATTTTCCAATCTGTGGCTGCCTTTTCAACTTGGACTCGGCTTTTTGAGCGCAACGGCTTCACCAATTGGTGACAGGAAGCAGCATCAAAAACCACACGGGCAAGCCGTCCACATCCATAGCCGTTTCTAGCGTTACAATTCTTTTCCCGCTGTCATCTGCCCTCCAGCTGGCATCCCTTGCGTCCGTTGTGTTTTTGTGGTCCCGATATGTGGTCCTGCCGGCAGTCAAATCCACGCTGAAGAGTCGTCAGGGAAGAATGGCGTACAAAGACAAGAACTGGATACCAGAGCAAAAGACACAAGGGCCATGCAAGGGATCACCGGGGACACCGCAGCCGCAAGGGAGATGTTGTCACAACTTGCTCTGTCAAGAGTTGTTCTCCATCGCAGAGGTGTGGGGGGAGGGGGATGGGGGAAGCAACAGTGAGATGGGTGAGACGTGGACAAGGTCTGGACTGGGCATGGCCCAGGCCAACAATGGCATATCTGACAAAACCTGACGACATACCACGAGCTTGTCTCGATGATCGACCGTCGATCTACGACAAGAAGGTGATAAGAATGGTAACGATATTGAGGATGGTGAAGAAACGAGCAACCATGATGACCACCAAAAGCCTCCAAAATTTCGATAAAACAGGTCATAAGACGTCTGTTCCTGTCGATTCGTTTGGTGCAGGCAAACATGGGCCATGCCTCCTCTGGCTAAGTTGAGGGGAAACGGGGAGGGGGTAGAGAGAAGAAGGAAAGGGGGGGGGAGAGAATCTAAAAAGGGTCGCTATCAGGAGCTAATTTGGAGCTCCAAAAGAGCTTCGATGTGGAAAGAAAGAAACGACCATCACGAAAGACAAGCTAAAAGGACCTGTGCGCGCTGCTTACCCCCTTGCGTCTAGCTTTAGTGCCATGGAGCTCTTGCCCAGCCGTCATGTTGCTCTAAATCTCATGAGGTTAGTCAATTTCTTGTAAGAAAAGAAATCGTCGATGAAGGACCGAAATGGGAAATGGAAAATGGAAAGCGGAAAACCGAAAACAGAGAGACGAGAATGCAGAACAGAAAGCCAAATGACGCAAGACAAGACAGCAATTTATCAGAGGCAGTATTTACGGAATCATTGGGCTGTATGGACGAAACAATTCAGCAGTACGGTAGAATCGAGCCAGGCGATGCAGTTGGTGTTCATTATTATTATCATTTCCACATAGAGATTTATCTATGGCTCTTATGTTTCTGTTTCTGCCGTTAAGTGATTATCAGATTGTCGTTGTGAAACCCCCTTCCAACTCCGTAGTCACGCACAATCGTCCGTTCTCTCTCACACGTAGTCTCGGTATTGGACAGGCACCGTGGGCCACTGGTCAATGCCGTCCTGAATGGCCACGGCCATGCCGCCCATCAGGTGGCTCTGGATGTGGCAGTGCACGAACCAGGCCCCCGGGTTGGTGACCCGGTAGCGCACGACCATCCAGGCCGGGCCCGTGGTCGCGGCCGGCGTCAGGAGCGTGTCCCGCTTTGGCGGCGTGTCCATGTTGAACTGCTGCGGGATGTGCTGCAGGGCCTCGGCGACGCTGCTGTACGGAAAGATGCCGTCGCCGGTGCCGATGAGCCACATTTTGTTGCCGTGCTTGTGGATGGGATGCGGCGGCATCGGGAACGACAGCTCCTGGAATACGAGATCGATCCACTCGCCGGCGCGCGTCGTCAGCGTGACGTTGTCTCGGCCTGCGGGCGCAGGCTGAAATAGCAGAGGCGTGTCGCTGTCGAGCTGCATCGGGTAGGCCGTGTGGTTGAGGGCCCAGCTGTAGCTGGCGCCGGCGACGCGGATGCCGAGCGTATATGTGCGGTTGGCGGCGGCGGGCGATGTCCGGACGTCGTCGTCGGGTGGGAACGCAAGCATGTCGGCCTGCTTGAAGAAGACGACGCTGCTGGACGTGTTGGTGCCGACGTCGTTGATCACGGGTGCGGTGGGCATCTCGGACCGCGCCGGCACGCGTACGGACGTGTTCTCGTCCTCGGCGCGCACCACCATGTTGGCAAACCCCGTGATGCTTTGCGCGCCCGTCGTCGACGCAAATCGGATCGTGTAGTTGCCGTCCGCGGCCGCCACGGGCACCAGCACGGAGTAGCGCGCGCCGTTGGTGACTGGAATGGCGTCAACGCGCATGGGCTCGATGTACGACCCGTCGACGGCGTAGAGCCACAGCGCGTGGCCGTCAATGGCAAACATGCCCGTGAGAAGGCCAAACGCGCCGATGACGTCGAACGCTGTCCACGTTTCGGACGATGCGGACCGCGTGACCTCCACCGTGGCCAGCGCGTGCTCCGTCGGCGTGCACACGTCAAAGACGTCCGGCGGTATCGCCGACAGGTTGCTCGGCGTGCCCGGCGCCGCGATGACGTTGGCAATAATGCTGGCGGGCAGGCAGCCTTTTGGTGTGAGAGATGTCTCGTTGCCCAGGTCCAACAGGTGCTTCTGCGCGGGCGTCACGAGCGCCTGCCGTTTGGCGGCGGACCAGCAGTCCACGCGCCCCTGCCCGTTGATCAGCACGGCGTCGTAGCACGGCGTTTCAATGCCCGACGCCAGCTCAATGGCCCATCCGTCCTGCGATGGCACATGCCGGAAGTCCGACAGCACGAGCGGCCGGCTGGTCCGCTCGGCCGCCAGCAGCGCCTGCCGCTGCGCGGTGCTGTTGGCCATGCTCTCAAACGGCCGCGGACGTGTCTTCTTTGCTCGTATCACAAGCGGCCCGATCATGCCGTCATCCAGCTGCCCCCGCTCGTGCGCATGGTACCAGTAGCTGCCGTACTGCGTTGCCTTCCATTCGTACAAGAAGCTGCGTCCCGGCTGGATCGGCCGCTGGGTCAGGCCCGGCACGCCGTCGGACCAGTTGGTGCCCTCCATCTCGATCCCGTGGAAATGCATCGTCGCGTTGTAGGGCATGGCGTTGTGCACTACCACGTGGACCACGTCGCCCTCGTCCATCTCCAACAGCGGACCAGGGAACTGGCGGTTGATGAGGATCATTTTGCGCGTGAAGCCATCGGGCGCGTGGTCTTCCCACGTCAGCGTGAGGTCGAAAACACGGATACGGCCGCCATCGTCGGGTGAGAGGCTTGCACTGGCCGTGTCGTTGATGTGGGCAGAAGCAATGCCTTTTGAGATCGATGCGCCGCTGGTCAGGGCATTAACGGCGGGTGCCAGCCAGAACGCCGCCGTCCGGACGCTAGAAAACAGACGCATGGTGCTGAGAAGACGACAAAGGGGCGCGCTGACGAGTCGTGGTGTCGACAAGTCGAAGCTGTGGAGGAAGTTGGGAAGCAGGAAAATTCATCGAGACGTGGACAAGTAGCGACTGCCCCAGCTGCACCAGGAGCAACGACATCAAAAGCGGGAATGTTTGTCGCAGATCTCATGATGAGGTTGATGTGGGGATAGACCACAGCAACGTGATATGAATGTAGGGAACATCGGGAGAAACTGAGAGAAAGCGGAACAGACGACAGGGAAAAAAGCAATCGAGAAGTACAAAACATGCCCATTCATTCCAATCATTTTGGTGATGATGCGCGCTGAGATGTCTTACTAAGTGCCATGAGAAGCAACGATCGGCGCCGCAGAACGGGCGCTACGACAAAAGAGGCAAAGAAACAGGGACAGAAAAGCAAAGCAAAGCACAGCTGGCGGAAGCATTCATGCACCGTAAACATGATTATGGAGTGGATGACGGCCCAACCCGAAGATTTGAGTAATCATGCAAGGAATTGAGTGTGTTGTCTAAGTAACTGTGCAGACGAGACGGACAACAGTCGCTTCTCCTCTTCCATTTTGCAACTGCCTAGAACCGGAACGATTCGAAGTCGGCAAGGGGCTGTCTAGAGCGAGGATGGCAGACAGACATTGCTGCATGAACACCAGTCAATGGTTTCGCGTGTGGGAAACGAAGTTGATTGTGAACTGTGCCAATGGTGATTGTCTGACTTCGAGGCGACGATGCATGTGGCTCAGCCCAGTCTACTTTGCAGCCGTGCCAGCCCGGCCACGGCCTGCTGCACGCCGGGCGCAAACGCCATCGTCTCGCTCATAGCCTTGGCCTCGCTGAACCGCTTTGTCGCTTCCCGCGCGTCGCCAAGCAGCGCCGCAATATCGCCCAGGTTGCACAGCGCCACCACGCATGCTTCATCGCACTCAGGCGTGCGCGCATCGCCAGACGTGTCCGTCGCGTGCTGGTGTGCGTTGGTCGCCCACCGCTGCGCTGTCTCGTAGTATGCGCGCTGCGCTTCTTGCTGCGTGATTTCCTTGCCGACGGCCGGTGTCTCGACGACGGAGCCCACCAGTGTTTCGTAGGGCGGCTGGACGGGGTGCTGCGCAAACGACACGGCCAGGTTGTTCATAATGACGGCGCTGTGACACGGGTCGCTGCACACGCGCAGCGCCTGGAAGAAGAGCGGCAGCGCCAGGTGAAACTGCGACCGCGACTCGTAGCTGTGGCCCAGCGACTCGAGCGCCGCGCCCATCTCCACGGGGCTCATCCACTTACCCTCGCCGTCCTTGGTGCCCGCCGTGGCGCGCCGCTGGAACTCCTGGAGGGCCGTGTCGACGGCCCACACGAGCCGCTCGTGCGCCTTGTCCGCGATGAGCACGTGCTCGTCGGCGTACAGCTCGCCCAGCTTGACGCTGACGCCGATGGCCTTGCGCAGGATCCGCGAGCGCCGGCCCCAGACGGTTTCGGTGGCGGCTGTCATGTCCACGCCGCTGTCTTCGGCCTCTTTGGCCGACTTGCCCGTCAGCAGCGGCGGCGGTAGGCGGGGCGAGAGCGTACCGACGGTGCCCTGGCCTGCTTTACCATCCTTCTCGTCTTTCTCCATGAGGTCCACCCACCGCCGGCAGTCCGCGAGCAGCAGCTCCAGGATCTTGATGGACGCGTCGTAGCTCTGAATCCGCTCCAGCCACGACGCCAGCTGGATCCGGATGCCCAGCACGTCTTCCGAAAACGGGTCCAGCCCCAGCTCGTCGCACGCCTCGAGTGCTTGCCGGTAGTTTTTCAATGCCCGCTTCGGGTCCGGCGCGTAGTTGCTAAAGTACAGCGCCCGCCGCAGGCACTTGGCCACCTCCGGCGGGTAGCGCGTAAACTGCTTGGAGTTGAAATAACTAAAGTAAATGCGCGCCACGTACGCAATGACAAACGCGCTCGCAACGAGCACGGCCAGCGCGAGCACCAGCTCTTCCGGGTTCGATCGGTACAGCGTCCGCAGAGTCGCGCCCTGGAACGGCATGAACAGGCTGCGGAGGCTGCCGCCGAGCGCCTGCAGCAGCAACCGGAAAATGGGGACACGGCCACGTGGTGGGGGTGGGGGAGGGGGAGGCGGGGGCTGCTGCTGTCCAGACGAGCCGTGTCTTCGGCTGCCATCATGCCTGCGCGGAGACGTAGATAGCCGCCGGCAGTGCAGCTGCGTCTGCTGCCACTGCAGTCGCACGCGGCCTTGGATATGTCCAGGACCGTGGACGCAGACGTCGACTTGCACAGACGCCGACGAACACGTCGATTGCCTGCGGGTGGATAATGGCCGCAGCGTCGCCGACAGGGCAAACGGCCCGGCTGTGCGGCTCATGTGCCGGTAGGCGGCGTTTGTCGCTGCCAGTGGTCGAGACATGGTTGTGGCGATGTGAGGATGTTGTTGATGTTGAGTCTGTCAACAAAACTCGACGTGACGTTGGTCGTACTTGCCCCGAAATCTGTCAAGCTCTGACCTGCGATTCGCCGGATTCGACGTCACGTGGCCGGACGTCCAGAGCCTGGCTGCACAGTGCAAGTGACTGTAGCGAATGGTCAAACCATTGGATTTACGAAAATTATATGCCTATATTTTGAATGCTGTCAATTGTTCGTTGTATTATTTATGAATTCATCTCGGAGCTATTTACAGGCAGCCTAAAAATTGGCTTTTTTATACAATAGAAGTGTATGATCTGAGGTCAGAGGGCTTTATCCGCTGAGAGAGCTCAGACACAGCTCGCACTGTGCGCGATTCCTTCCTATAATCACGTGCGAAATTGCGAGCTTCGGTTTACCGAGCATGCCATTCGCTGGCGGTCCCTCCACACTTTCCCCATAGCACAGCCGACAGTGGGCTCCATCGCTCCTGCCCGTTAACCCCACCACCTACGGCTGCCACCTCGCCAGCACCGCTTGCTTCGAGGCTGCCACTTTCCCCGACTGCCACCAATTGATCGCGAACTCTTGAAAATAGCTGCATTCACTTTGACAGACGTCAGTACGTCACATCGACGGCCTTTCTAATCTCTCCACCAAAGGTAAAACTTGAGCTTGCAAAGCCCCTCTAAGATACACAAACGTCCTACTCTTTACAGACGGCCTCTTGTTGCAGCAGCAGGACTTGTGAAGAGCTCGCCTCCTTGCGTCAACTGGTTTTGACTTTAAGGCGACAACCTCTTACTGACAACAAAAACAGAACATATTAAGAATCCCCGTTTGCATTCCCGCAATCACTGTCAATATGGCCGGCAAGTTTGAGCCCAAGACGCCCGTCAACCTGCAGCCCCCCAAGGACGACCCCATCACTCTGGAGGAGCTGAGTGCGGCCAATGGTGAGTTTCGAACTGATGCCAAACATTTCCTCGCCTCATGTCCTTTTCCGTCTGCTAACAAGTCAAGGCGTCGACGGTGGCAAGTGCTATGTTGCAATCAAGGTAAGCAAAAGTGGAAGATAGGAGGACTGTATCACTGGACAGTGTGACAGCCGAGGACAAGGACGTTCCACCGTCCACGTTCCCTCGTCCCTTTGCGTCATGACAGGAGCAAGCGAGGGACAGAGTACACAATCTTGCCCTTACTATCGTTCCCTGGCGTTCGTGGTCCTTGTTCCTGCTCCTGCTCCAGCTCCCGTTCTTGTCTCCGTTCCTGTCTCTGTTCTTGGCATTGACCGTCCTTTCCCATATTGCAGGGTCTCGTCTACGATGTGACTGGAAACAAGGCGTATCAACCCGGCGGATCCTACCACGGTGAGTACCCCCCGCACTCCATTTATGTTTGTTTTTCTTCCTTTTTTTTTTTTGTTCGTATTGTCAGCAGCATCCTAACAGAACAGTGTTTGCCGGCAAGGACGCGTCGCGGGCGCTCGCCCTGTCGTCCACAAAACCCGACGACGTCCAGTCCCAGTGGCAGGACCTCGACGACAAGGAAAAGGGTGTGCTCAACGACTGGATCACCTTCTTTGCGAAGCGGTACAATGTCATCGGCAAGGTCGTTGGTGCGACGAACCTGTCGTAGGTGTACTGCGGACGGAATGGTGAGGTGACGAGACATAAGGAACAGGGATTGCTCGTTGTTCGGTCTTTTGGTCTCGCTGGACCTCGTTCGACAAAAGGAACAGGAAACACAATAAAGAATCTCCTCTATATTGATCACTCGGTACACATTGTCTGTGTATCTTGTCCTTGGTCTTGTTCGTTGGACTGCGTCGCTTTTTCTTGTTTTCTTGTCCTTTTTTTCATTTTTTTTTTTTTAAAAAAAAGAACGTAAAACTTAAATTGGCCAAGACGTCCCCTTTGTGTCCCGTGGCTCGTGCCTCGTATTTCCATGTCTGCAATCCACAATATCTGGTCATCCACCTCCTCACCTATGCCACCTCCTCTCCCCCCTCGGTAGGGCTTTCCGGTTCAACGTGAGCAAACATACATTGAAACAAATAGAAGGGGAAAGCACTGTGGACACAGAACTACACGACGTCGTAGAAAACACACAACAATCATCATTGATCCCGCGGACAACTACCGGCGCACAATGCGGGCGATTTCTGACAGTTGACAGACGGCGCATTGTGTTACAAGTCGTGTCTGACGAGGACAATGGCTGGTTTCGCCTCATCATTTTGTAGAGTCCCAGTGCTGATGAAGAGTACGACTTTGAAGGCACACAGCTGCAAGGTACCAGGGCTGCTAGTTACATTATGGTCTCGAAGGAGCCGGTCGCTTACCGTCCGGTATGTGCCCCCTTCTTCTGGGAAGAGAGAGGTTTCAATCTCGGCTGCCACCATCTGTTGAGATTGTGGCACAGTCAACGGTCAGTCTCAACCACAATTGGCCCCTAGACTATGCAGAGTATGTGTCACGGGCGAAGGAAACAGCTACAGAATTGTGATCTGTGGCTGTCATGCGACTGGTGCAGTCTATGTTTGAGCTTCATTGAAGGCGTGGAATGAACGTACTATTGCGATCATACACGAGCATTGGGAAGATCCCATAATAGCCGTTTATGTGAAATTGCTAACTAAGATACTAACAAGTACTACCAAAGGTAAATCAAATTGCCCCGTTAGATATACATCGTACGAGAAGAAAAAGGAACGGGTAAGGATACGATGGAATGATAAGCTATGTGATAAAATGGAAATTGGCCTTCTCTGGTTAGCTGTTGTTTTTTTTTGGGGGGGGGGGGGTATTTATGCTGCAATTTTGCTTGAATGTGCTTTTTTTCTTTCCATGACCTTGTGTAATCTGTTAGATTCGCTAGCAGTTGTTATAATTGTAGCTTGGGAAACATACCTCACAAAGCACTCTAAAAAGAATTGTAGTGAGAGTGCATCCCGTATGACACGGATGAGGACGACGACGACGATGCCGACGACATCGACGGCCGCTGCTTGGAGATGCAGGAATTGCAGTCGACCTGCTGGTCCCAAACGTTGCGTAGCTTGGCCACGCCAAAGCACTGATGGTTGAGGTCATTGCGGGCGAGGTGGCAGTACGACTTGAGCCGCGTCTGCGAGCAACCGCAGTTGAAAAGGAACTCTTCGTATTCACACATTGCGGAGATCTTGTAACGATTTTGAAGAGGAGAGACGGTTCAAATATTCTCTTGTAAGGCCAAGACCGTGATGGAGATATCAAACGCAAGAACGAGTTTTTGATTGAGAAGCTGGTGATAGATACTGATGAAGGATGAAGGATGAAGGATGAAAATGAGGACGAGGATGAGGATGAAAGGCCAACAAAATAAGACAAGTTGGCTCTGGGAGCAAGGTCTATTTATATTCACTTCGAGATGGCAGTGTTCCAAATAAACGTTAGATTTTCTGCTGAATCCCCCACGCAGTTGCCAACGATAAACCATTTCCTTTCTTGATTTGCGACTTCGGTGCGATGCAATGACATTTCTTTTTGTTTCCCCCCCTCGACAACACAGCCGGTGCCTTGTCTGTTGCCTCCGGCATCTCACGAGAGAATCCGTTTGGACGACACGACAGTCTGAGAGTGTATCCTGCTTCCTATTTGTTCTCGTTTCCCAAATTCTGTCATATATCTGATTTTGTTTCTCGAACAACACCAACAGTGCGTTCTGCAATGGGTTGCCAGGTGCGTCGGCCGTGACGACGAGAACGGTGCGTATAAGCGAGCTAGTCATTCGTCTACCATTCAGGGTTTTTACCTTGCCACTCGGTTTCTTTCTCGTAAACGATAACAGCAGAGGTTGCCAGTCTCCTCTTCTCGGAGGGGAAGGATAGGACAAGGTCGTGTTGGTTCGAACGAAGACCGGGAAGCAATAGAGGACATGAAAAAAGAAATAAAAAAAACAGAATGGGGAAAGAAATGTCGAGAAGGTGAGCCACGAAAAAAGTGACAGATCACATCCTTTTTGTTTCTAGTTTTGTCACCCACCCCCTTTGTTTATTTTATTTGGTTTTCTTTTGCTGTGTCACTCCTCTTTTCCTTGTATGCACTCTCTCTGGAAGTGCTTCCTATCCTCCCCGGCTTTCTTGTACGATCGTTGCAGCACATATAGGCATCCAATCGGCCCTGGTTGTTCAGCTATCATATTTCTAATTACTATTATTATTTATTATTTGATTGTTCATTTCATTTTTGGGGTGTCTCGTTTCCCTTATGTACTCTTATCCATCCCTGCTTTGTACTCTGTACAATCCAGCGCCCCCACAACCCGCGTCGTGACCTACCGGCCCGAAGTTAAGCTCCCGTGGTTCTTACCCAACCGAGTTAGTTTTGGTTAAAGAACGGCTATGGGGACGTGAGTATTGACACAGGCTTCTTGAGAAAGGTCCTCAGCACCTGGGACTGGGCACCGGGTTGTCGACTTGCACCGTGCATGGACAGAGCGCAGAGGAAGAGACGAACAGCCTCTCACTTCGTCTGCATATCCTGTCCCGTGTTGGTAAGGGCATAAGGGTTTCGTCACGAAGGCGAGCATGAAGAAGCGCAACGTAGGTTTCTATGGAGCTACTTTCCCCTCGGTCCTGCTGTTCATCTTGTACCCCGAGTGTACAAAGTACGCAGCGGATGAAACGAAGATGTCACTGTGCTGCTCAAGGACACTGTCAAGTTGGCCATCCCTGTAATTTCTTGTCGGTGGAGAGGACTTTTGTGAACGGCAACAGGCCCACTGACCTTCCATAGATACTATAGGATGCGCTTTCATGGTTGTACGACATGGAAACACTGATGGACAGAGACCAATCTACTTGTTACCTTGTCATATGCTCTGTTTTCGGACTGTTCATTCCGTCCCAGTTTCTTCAAAATCTCCCCACTCAATAGAAATGCAAGTCAAAAGCAATCATGCACCTGAACGGCCGAATCAAAATCCTGTGAAAATGACCATGTCCAGACGAAAAAAAAGAAAGGTGCAGGGCCTAGCCCATTTGACGTCTGACGTGCGTCCACGCTGTCCAATAAATCAGGGAGGCGGAGTCTAAAGAACAATGGCATGGGTGTGGAAGAGAAAGAAAAGACGAAAAGGTTGACAAAAAGGTTAACGAGGGGGTGTGGAGGGTGTGTGGGAGAGAATTGCATTCTTTCAGCTTGAGACTTGTATTTTTTCATGGTTATCTGACAGGCTCCCAGAAGATCAATCTATCTCAAGGAGATGGCCGTAAGCAATGTAGGTCCTATAGAACCGGCTTGGTGCAGGAGGGGCCAAACAATAGAACCAACGATCTCTCCTACCATCCGTCAATCTGCTACCGATCGCGAGAGGCCCTGTGCCTTCCTTTACCCAGAACCAAAGGCTGCACTTACCTTACCACTGCAGGATAGCGCTGAGGCCCCAAACCCAAGATTCCACTCTCCAAGATCTGCTTTCCAAGATTTAAGGACCAAGATTGCCTCGAATCGTGTTTAGATTTGGGGTAGCGTATTCTGGAGAAGCAGAATTATGTTTGCTGCGTAGGACTGGAGATACCTAGACATTCAAAGTGGACTTTTTTCTGTTGCAGTGAATATTGACTTGTCTGAGCAGTTGCTTGTATTTCTTGGCTTTTTTTCTGGTAAGAATAGGGAAGTCACCGGTTCCCTTTGTTCATTTTCAGCTGCATCCATGCACGGCTGTAGCGTCAGCGTGGGGGTTCTCACAGATTGTTCAGACTGTATCGCCTTGCAGTGTGTGCATTAGTGGCCGTTTTCCCGACTTCGTTGTGGGAGTGAAATTATCAGTTCTGGCACTCCGTCTCAATTTTGTTCTGATTGCATAATATTTCTTTATTTTCCGTCTCTCGTCCTGTTTTGTCATTGTTCCATTATTCGCGCTCTCGTGTCTGCACCTTACAGCTCCTTGACGCAGACTGCATGCACGAGACAAAGGAAAAAGAAAACATTATCACGGGTTCATGCAGAAAAAGAGAAGAAAAGAAAGCAATGCCAGCAACACCCCTGCCACCCACCGTGTTCACCGCCCATCCCCGGCCTCTCCCTTCTTTATGATTGTCTGTTGGGACTCGTGTTCTGTCTGGATGCACGTAAGACGCATCTCCACGAATGAAGGCTGGAGCAAACGCCGGGGACAATTCCGTGGACATGGGTGTGACGGGCCAAGATTATGAACGGCGATGTTATGGCATGTATGAATGCGCCGCCTGCTGGTTGAACTGGCTATCAAAGCATCTTTTATGGTCGACAGCTTTCTTCTACTCATTTTCTAATAGGACGCTGGAGATGTATATCCATGCAAGCTGTAACCGAGATGCAGGTTGAGAGGCCGTGTGCCAACCAAAACGGAAAGAATGAAAACGCCACGAAACTCGCAAGCGACGCAAATGCGTCAACGGTCCTGTGCTCTTTTTGTTTTTTTTTTTTTTTTTTTTTTTTTTTAAAAAAAAAATATTAATAAAAGAAGGAGGACATAGATATAAGGCGAAATAAGAGAGTACATACATAGCTTTCTCATCAAGTCTTCGCTTCAGTAATAAGTCATATTTTACGTCGTTGCACTTCTTTCTATGCCGTAGTACAGCTGTGTGTCCACCTGCAGGATGTTAGTCTAGCTTGTCCGTTATTGGATGGCAGGGAGGCTACTCTGGTCGGGAGAGAAGAGACAGAGGCGTATTGCGGTGTAAACTTGCATGAGCTGGAGGGTGTGAGGGTCTGGCTGGCAGATTTGCAAAGGGATGTATCCTACTGGATACAAGTGTCGTATGGTTCTGCAATCCTTGTCCATGTTTGCATTCCGGTGTTTGTCATTCAGCCACTCGTCAGGATTTGATCTTGCCTTTTTGGAGCGTCATTTTGTGGTGAGAAATCTTGATCTTGCTGCCATTGCTTTCTTCTGTAAGGAAAGTGCACGATTTATTTTCGTATGGAAACACATGGTCCGCATTTTGCAATGCGGCGACTGGGACTTTACTCTTTAGTTCCTCGTCCTCCTCATTATCTTGTTCATTATCTTGTCGTTTTCGCACTTTTGGGATTCACTGACCTGTGTTTCTTTCTTCTTTTCTTTGTCATTTTTTTTCTGCTCACAGGAGTACTGCCGGACAACACATACTTTCATACCTCTTCTCTCCACATTTTAACAATAACTCAGGAAATTGAGAGAAGACAAGGGAGAGGTTTTCCCCATCTTGCTCTGCTTTCGATTCTAACACCTTCGTTCATCTCACTGTTAGTTGTTATTATTCCTTTCTCTTTTTTTCCTGTAGTTTTCGGTTCCGTCATTTATTGTCCTTCGTTTATGAACACCATCTCTCTTTTCATCTGTTTGACCAAAACGTTAATCCTCGTGATGCACATTATGAGCAATTGTACTGCACTTTGCTGGGCTCGACAGTTTCGCAACGCCTTTTAATTCAAGATGCCTTCCCACTTACAGTGTGGCTTTTCGTAGACCCACCTCGAGGGGTTTTGATGATTTGTGTTATTTTGTTGTGCATCTTTCTCATGTCTGACAACAAGTGCTGCCAAAATGCAATACTTCTTAACTGCATACTTTGTCCAAAACCGAGCGAACCCTCGTTCCTTCCGTCTTTTGAGGCAGCTGTGTTTCAAGACACGCTGACTGGGCTCTGTGCACATCTCATCGCTCCTTCCGCGCCACGTTTCTTGCCTGTCCCGTGCCTTGCCCAGTCGCTAGCCAATACCCTTTCAGCCTCACCATCCACCACCGGCCTGGCCTGGTCCAAAAGGCCGCACAGGGCACTTTGCCACCACGAATTAGGCACCGAAAGCCGTCCAAACTGTAACCGCCCCGCTCTGTTACCCGTCGCCTGCCGGATTTGGCGCTTCTCAGCCTCATCTCAGATTGAGCAGTCGCGACAGCATCCAAATCTAAACAATATGAGTCGCTCTTTCCCTTTCCCACGATCCTTCTACTCCCCCACACTCCCCTGAATTTTCAACGCGCTCTTCTTTTAGACCTCCAGCTTCACGCATCTCTTGCCGCGACGCGACTTCAGGTCCACGTTCTTCTTTTCGCCCTTGGAGGGACTGCGCCGTCCCGCGTCAGCTCGGTTAGCCTTGCACCTCAGGGTTCTCACACACCGCTCTTCTTTGTCAGACTGCTCCCGCGCCACAACAGAGCGACAGTTACCGGGTCTGCTTCCCGGTTGTCTCTCCGTTCTGAGGGATCTTTTTGTCGACGCGGCGCTGGCCGCTCGCATGCACCGGTTGCCGATGTTCCTTAACGGCCGAGACTCGTGGTGGAGCCTCGTCTCCCTTCGGCCGATCGATGGCATCGCGACTCCAAGCTTGATCCCGTCACCTCTTTTCTGGACTCGCCTTAACAGCCACAACAGCCTGGCGAGCGAATGCTCTCGGAGGACAGCGCCACTCCGTTCGCCCACGCGCACACAACTTCCCCTCGGCTGTTGCGGAGGTGGCTGTCCACATCAGTAGCACAATCACAATGGATCGCATGTCATCCCAACAAGGTAGCCCTTCTCATGGCGTCATGATGGTAAGAAATCTCGCACGCTGTTGGTTGGCCAAGACGTCCTCTACGCAATCTGACACTCGCCTTCCAAGCCGCCCCCCTATGCCAACTTGAAACCGGCAATGGTGGACTATATTGTCAACTCGGACGATGTCCCAGTCGGCGCCAAGTTGCATGGGCATGGCCTAACGGCGATTACCCCGCCGTGCTTTTTATATCGAGAACACCCTGCGGGACCGGCATCCGAGTTTTCGGCCACACCAGACTCCACGTATGGTACCAACAGCTTCCGTAACAAGCCGAGTACTGGCGGGCGCTCTCTTCACGATGGCTCCAACGCCACGACGTTGAGCGGGTTGGCCCGTTTGGATACTGCTATTGGTGGTATACAACTAGACACGCGGTCTGCAGCCTCGCTGCCTCCATCTGACTTTTACATGCCCGCGACCAGTGACTCCGAAAATTGGACACAGGGAAGTATACCAACGTTCAGCCATATGACGCACGATGACCTGTTTGAAAATGCCACTACTGGCTTCGACACGACAGACATGTTCAGCACTCCGGATATCAACGACAGCCAGAGCGTGAACGGGGCTGCAGAGATTGTTGAGCTCCACTCGTTTCAGAACCAGAACGGTCACAACTGCTCTCTGTGCCCAAAAAATAACAGAAAAGTCACCAAAACAAGGTCCGAGATGATGTACGTGACGGGGTTTTGTCTTGTTTAGGTTGCTTTCGTGCACTTTAGACGTTGTTTTGTGGTACTTGGACTGACTTGTTATTTCTCGTCTAGGAAACATATTCGCATTCACCTTAAGCCGTTCAAGTGCCATGTGGCCGACTGCAAAATGGCTTCCGTTGGGTTTGCCAGCGGGGGAGATCTGAAAAGACATCACACGTCTTGCCACAAAGATATCAGGACCCTCTCGGAGTTTTTCATATGCAGCCATGGAATATGCAGTGAGAGAAGGAAGCCTTGGCCACGTTGGGACAATTTGAAAAAACATATCCTGGATGTACACCATGTCAAGGCAGACAACCGCGAGAAGTATCTTGTGAAGTGAGTGTTTGCCTCGCCACAAATGTCCCCTTATTCAATGTTTATGGGAGCGGCCATATTTGGATGCTCTGGCTAATCTGCTTCGCTTAGAAATAACGACCCACTGGAAAGTGATCTTGCTGGCATGGGCCTCCCTTCCGAACCAGATATCACCCAATCGCCGGCTTTGGACACCGAAGTTGGCTCTATCGACTTGCACGATTTCGTGTCGGAAATGAACGAACTCATGGCCGAGCCGTTTACAAGTGCCACATGGACCAGCGCCTCTACAAGACCATTGGTGCCCGCGACGAAGAACGAGTCCATGGCAACGCGGTTAATGTCATCAAAACTTCGTAGCATTCACCCGACGATATCGGCGACGAGTGACGTTTTCAATTTTGCATCGGCACTGCCTCTGAGCCTTCCTTCCCCGACGCTCTTGTCACCACAAATCCCGTCATCCGCCCCAAGCCTCGGGCATCAAAGGCCAAGTACCTTTCATTCCACCCCGAATCCACCTGTGACTGTCCATCAGCTATACGGCCACCCATGGCAGCAAAGGATGAACCCAAAGCCGCCACTTGATCGTCCTCGGGATGGCAGTGATGTCCTTTTTGGCACGCACACGTGGCCAAGATTTGAGCGGCACTCAGTTCCTGTTGAACCAGTGGCCCCGAAACGAGATGTGCACCGCGCCTATGCGGATCGCTATGGCATGGATGCGATTCGACGTATGCAAACAGGCCCCGACCCGTCACCTCTGCTCAAGTACACGGACGGAACATGGGCGTCTGTACACTTTCATTCAATGCTTGCGGGTCCTAGCAAGGGCATGTCTCCCGGTCTCGACGCCGTCGCAGGAGCCCCTAATCGCCACATCCAACTTCAAGACGACCTATCTGAAATAATGGCGGTTGAGACGCAGACGAGCTCTGATGGCGGCCGGAATGACGACGTTGCTGCCAGCATTGACGCTGTTGCTATAAACGAAGGCGATAGCATGAAACAGCCGCAGCAACCATTGAAGCGCCAACGTGGGGAAGAGAAATCGCATGATCAAGATGCACAAGAGGAGCAACGATTAAAGGTGTCTAGAGCGTCGCCGACAGTGTTGCAAGAGACACAGGAAGTTACACGTGATCTATCTGTTGGCGCAGAGAGCTACATTGACCTCACAGTACCCGACGTGGAGAGCGAGTTTGAGGATGTCGATGCCAAAGGTCCCACCGACGTCGACGAGACGTACGCTTCGGCTGCTGTTATGGATGACATTGCGTTTGATACTTTGTCAGACGACCGCCTACAAGCTGTTTTGAAGAGATTGAAGAGGCTTGATGACGCTGGCGGCCGACTGGAAAGCCTAGGATTCCGGCTGGTTGAGGTTCCCGTAACTCCGGCAAAACGCAGTGTGCCGAGTGTGCGATCAGAGCATACAGCTACAAAGGAAGCAGGGCGTCACCCTTGTGCACAGGATGGATGCTCTGCATCGTTCGTCAGCAAGGCGTCATTACGGTATGAACATATTCCAAGTGCTCAGTTTTGCACCCCTGTCATTTACTGACCTCGCTTGACATGTCTAGAAAACACGAGAAGCGGCACCAGCGTCCATATGCATGCACCTTTAGCTGCATGATGAAGGGCAGCGATGCAAAGCTGTTTGGTAGCAAGAATGACTGGAAGCGGCACGAGGAAGGCCTCCATTTCCAAGAGCCTGTTCATGGTGAGGAGTGGCAGTGTGGTGAGATGATGGATACGGTGGACGAGAACGTCCGCGTCCCTTGCTGCCAAGTCTTCAAGTCGGCGCCGATTTACCGGCGGCACCTGGTCCGACAACATGGCTACAGTGTGGACGACAAGAAAACACTTCGTGAGAAGACGGCGCGATACAGGGCTGTTCCAGCCGAAAGCTGTAGGTACTGGTGTGGCTTTTGCGAGACATACATTCGCGTCACTGCTCGGGTTCAGCCAGCTAGTACCAAAACAAGTGGTGAAAGCAGCAACAGCGATACCAACGCCAAAGCTGTCGCCGAAAGCTCCGCTGCCAACATGGACGACGCTGACGACGACGACGCCGGCAAGGGAAAGGGAAAGCAAAGGGAGACTGCGTCAGAACCTCAACTGTGCCGGGACGGATACATTCTCTTTTCCGAGTTCTTGAGCAAGCGGTTTAACCACATTGACAATCACTTTGTGGGCCGCGGCGAGCGGAAAATGAACATTGCAGAGTGGGTGCCCGACGATGCACTTGGACCCGAGCCCAACTACAATGACAGTGAAGTTTCCTTACGGAGCCACCGAAGCAACCACGACGACGCGGCGTTTCGGAAACGACACCATGGAGATGACCAGCTGTCCAGGACGAAGCGGAGTAAATCGTCGAGACGAAAAGCTGGAGCGCGCTTCTTTTCATGGGTTTGTGTAAGTGTCGGACTTGCTACTTTTACTTCATCTTCACGTCTTCGGTTCACTGCATTGATTCGCTAATGTTTTACTACAGTGCCGTTGCAAGATCATCAACACCGCCAATTCGGATGTCATGTGCAACGACTGCCAGCACGCCATGTGCGGTGTGTGTGACCGCGAGTGAGATTTTCGACCCCAGTTGGCAGTTGGCATAGTCTGCGGATCTGAACTTGTGCTGCTTATCACAAACTTTGACTTTGTTTTCCTTCGATTATGTTGACATATTTTGTTGATTTGACGGGACATTAACGACCCAACACAAACCTTTTTGACGAACCACCAAGGCCCATGAAAACTAAGGGTACGGATACCATCATGGCTGATTGGTTCTGATTTATTTGCATATTTTCTGCTTTTCTTTTGTCACCTGTAAGGATTCCAGGACTTGATATTTTGGAACTTGAGGAGTCTTTGGACTTTATTGGACCTTATCAGATGCACATTTTGGCGTTTTGCAGTATTATACCCTACAATTACATTATTGTCGTTTGCTCCTTTCTCGTTGTTCTCGTTCCACCCGAGCTTCAGAGGACTACTCTTACTGATTGTGGTCGATGAGCGCCGTGATCGTTTCCAGTTGCAGCACCAGGTTATGCACAGCCAACAATCGTTCGGTACGCCTTGGGGGCCAAACGACAACATCCTCGAGTGATCCCCCAGTTGACAGCTCGTGCTGGTAAGATTGAGGCGTGTCATTTGGCCCCCAAAATTTAGGTACGACAACAGGACAACAGAATATGCTGGAATGGTCGACCTTTTTCTTGACCTGCATCAGACATGCATCCATACAAAGGCGGTCAGCCATTTTCACCTTTGGTTTGGACGCCTCCATGAAGTCTTGAAAGTATCAGTACGCGAACCTTACTGGCTTCGAACGTGGAAATGGGAAGGAATAAAAGGGAATGGATGGACGAAACGAAGTGGATGGAAATGATGAGAACGGATAAAAACAAATGTACGTGACAGTGGACCAGCGACGCCACCGGAACGCACGTGAAAACGCAAGGCTACCTTCGATTATCACCAAGAAATGCAATGAAGGTCGCAGGCGCTGTGGATCCGCTGCGAAGACCAGGTTGGACCAGACCGCTCCCAGGACCAGAACGCGCATGTTGCACTACGGGGGTGGTATTATCGGTTTCTTTGCCAGGGTCTCAAGAAAGCGCAAAGCCGTCACCGCTATTTGTTGCCCGGGCCTCGTTCGGCCCTACCTAGGAATTATGCCGCGGACTGAACTGGTCGTTGGTAGCAGTGCACGTACTTTTCAGGGATCACGCAGCCACGAGGCATAAATCGAAACAAGAGACACCGAACCATTCCTTTGGAGACATTACTTCTCGAATTTTATTATGTTATTATTATATTGTTTGAAAGGTGCCATTCTTCTTGGTTTCTTTTTCTGGTTTCAGTTCAATTCTGGCGGTTTCCTTTCATTTTCGGACTTTGGCGCCCTGCAGCTGCACACGACCAAGGGTCCCCGACGCTGAAGCTGTCTTACTTTTGAAATATTTGGGTGGGACTGCGTTGTCTCAGTTCTAGCATCCTTTGTTTTTTGTTGTTGTTACCCGTCATTCGGTCTGGCGTGCGCCTTCAACGGGTGAACCTGCCACCTGCGGAGGACAAGAGCTGAGTGAGACGGATCGTCTTCACTTGCACGGTGGAGGCATTTCGTACGCATCTTGTTGGTTATTGATAAAGACATTGTCGCGAGTTTTGACTCCTGTTCTAGGCAACGCTTTGTTGTTATTTTTGGACAAAGATTGCGTTGGCGAGTGACAAAAATAGAGTCGAGTTCCCCTTTCCACTTTGTCAACTTGCACATATTTTTCTTGCAATTTTCTGCAGTGTCAGCGAGCGCTCCACTACAAGTCCACGGTGACTTTCTAGTGTCTACGCTGGCCGTCCCACGACAAGGATGCCTCCACGTGGTGCAGGGTTTGCCGAGATACCGACATCAAGGATTTAGCTGTCACCCTGTATGGTGACAGTACGGAAATGTACTTTTTTGGTAACCTAAATAGGCACTAAGTTCCGAGTGATCACAAGTTGAACACCGGCCGGCCAAACAAGGGTACGAAGCGATCAGAAACGAAAGATCAGAAACGAAAGATCAGAAACGAAAGGTCCGAATAAGAATGGTCAGAAACAAAATATCAGAATAGGAAAAGTGCAGAGAGCTTTTTATATTACATGTTACGCTTACCTGGATTGTAAAGTGTTTTGCCCTGCGTTGTACTCTAAACTTCTCCCTTCACCAGACGAGATATGCGTGAAACACGACAGCCACAAAAGTCCCGAGTCCCTACCGGCATAGGTAGCCTACCACCAGCCACTCCAAATTGTCCGGATACGCGTATAGACGCGCAACACAAGAAAACGGAGAAAACTCAAGAAACGAAACAGCTGGGATTTAATTTAACTGCCCGTTTACACCATGAGTCCCACAAGGACTGGGCTTGTCCCCAGGAATCATGCCTAGTTGCGAATCAGACGGTGAGATTGTCCAAGGTCGCCAAAAAGATGCATTTATCTCAGCGGACACAGATATCAAAAATGCATGAGAATAAGTGCAAACGATACCGGAAAATGAAATACTCCAGAGGCCACAACAACTGGGAAGCCGTTTACTTTGTTTTCCTCCCCATTTTCTTTTCCTTTGCTCGACGGCATGTGGTAACAGGCGAGCAACCATGCGGCTCTAAGTGGGTCAGCATTGTTGAGCATAGCTGTGTCTTGCTCTTCTGCTGCCGTCTCGCATCCCATCGCTAATCTGTAGCGCACAGCTGGACGATCGAACCGGCTGCGTGCATGTCGAGCTTCAGAGCAGTAGATTGCGGCTTTCTTCTTGCGCGAAGCTCGAATAAAAGGCGCGGAAAAGGGGGGGGGGGGGGGGGGGCCGAGAGATAACGCGCCCCAGAAGGTGAACCGGCTGGATTCTTGACCAGATACATTACGTCGTACATACTGCCTCGTTTGGCCGAGGATTCGTGACAAAATAACACGCTTTGTTAATGAATGCCAAAAGGAAAACACTGCATGCACAAACGTGAGTTTTCTGGTGGCCCAGGGGCTTCCTCTATGTCCCTCCATGCAGCCACTGTTAATTGCTTGTCCTCTTTTGGCCCTGTGCAGACCCGTCACCAGCGAAGAAAATTTCCACGTCAAAGGCCTCAGTGGGCCGCTACTGTGGGTAATTTTAGTGACCAGGCCATGCGGGGCACCTTTCGTCATTGCATGTTTTGAAAATCCCCCTGCGATCGACGCTTAGGACTGCCGGGCGTCCACAGGGACCAGCTGGCGACGAAAAATGGCCTCATCTCAGCAAGGACATGGCAAGGGCCAAATTTCTGTGAGCAATCTTTGTAGTGGGAAAGTTCAATGGGGCCGACTTTCGACACGTCGACTTGCGATACGTTCACTTCGAGTTTAACCTTTTTTTTTTTTTTTTTTTTTTTTTTTTTTTTTTTGTAAACCCAATAATAACCCAGGGGCACCACCTCTAAAATGCGAACCTCCTTCGCAAGTTCGCACTCCGACTCCACTCAGCTGCGTTTGCGCTTGTACGCCAATGATAATCCAGGAAGTCCTGCTGGCCACTTTGTCTTTTTTCGTCGCCTTAAATTGTGGTGTTAAAAGCGGGTGTCCTAGTGACTGCAGAAACCGTGACGTCGTCGTCAGCATACATTGTCGATACAGAGGTGAAGTGGAGGGTACTAAAGACTTTGCATTACCCGAGAACTTGTGTGGGTTGGTTGAGTTGTGTTTTCCTAGTATAGATTTGGGAAATCGAAAACCCCACATCGCCTTTTTTTCAATATCGATGTATTGGAGATTTCCTTTTCTCTCTCCGTTTTCTTGTCTTTGGCGCCGAGTAATGTCCGGCGTACTCGGACGTCGAGTCCAGTCTTGGTGTTTTGACACATGTTACGGGCATCGAAAACGGTTGTTGTCAGCCATGTAAGGAAGACGTTCGCATGACGTTTACAGTGGGACAATAAGGTGGGACTCCAAAAACGCGACCAAATCCGCCTACGACGGGAACGGAGCGCTCTAGGCCGTTCCAGGGTCCAGCGCTGGCGGCTTTTCGCGCTAAAATGAGCTTAATTGGTCCCCGTTTTTCGGTCGACATTGAACGTCTCCTTGAAGGAGCGTTTCTCAGCGATTCGCGCGCCTGTATTCTGTATTTCCGTTTTAACCCAACAACCTTGCTACCGCTGTGCGCTCTGTACACTTGGCTGCCATGAGAGGCGAACATTGGGGTGCCATTAAAACCCAGGCTCCGCTTTTATGGACCAGGGGACTCAAGGGAACGCAGCGAGTAGGATGACGGAATGGACTGCTAGGACCGGGCCTTGTCGCTCCAGAGCGTGTGCCAAGCCTGATTCTGGGCGATCATGCTACGGAGTGTTGATTGACGGCCGTGAATATCACTTGGATTTTGTCTGTCTGGGCCTTATGGTGTTCAACCTTTTTCAATCCGTTCAACCCTTTTCAATCCGTTTCAATCCACACGGAATTGACAAACCGGAGCGAGACATTGTGGTTTTGTCGCATTGTCAGATTTTTCTCTTCTATGCGACGCGCTGGACCTAGGTTTGGTGCCCAACGTAATGAGCCCCCCTTGACAAGGCGCAGAATACTTGCTTGTGGTGGGATGAGCAGTCGGGGGACAAAAAAATAAAACTAGAGGAAATACAACTGTACAGTCTCCTTGGCCCGTGCTCCAAAACGCTTTGGAGCCTTTTGACATGTCGCGGTAGTTACGTTGAGCCTCGTACTCCTTTTCCCCTCACGCGTTTTCTAGAACCTTGAAATCTGCGTCCTGACTGGCGACGTTAAATAATAACAATACAATATAAAAAGAACGAAAAAAAGAATTTGATCTACGACGCAATTCGTAGTGCCTCATCAGATATTCGGCGTTGCTTTGAACAGAAGATAGACGGAGGCTGCGAAATGAAATGGATGTCGGGAGGAGGCAGCTCTCCTGGCACAAGGCCGTGGTCTCCCACAAGGCGAGATTAGATACCTCCGAGTTGGCCATGACGATACTTAGGGCCGGCCGACGTGGTGGGCCCTCACCCATGCAGTTGACGAAAACAAACTTGACAGGGCTCCAGATGGACTTGGAGGCAAGGATGTGTGGCGTCCCTTGCACTGCCGTTTCTGGATCCCTTTGCGTGTTCCCAGTCTCTTTCGCTTCCTTGGCCGCCCACCTAACGTCTCGAGCAGAGGGAATGCGTGCCTTGCTAGCTCTGCATCCTCTACATACGATTGAGCCTCCTGCAAATCTAAAACCGCCCATATTAAAACAAAGCATCCCCATGCATTTGGATTTTCGAGTCTGTTTTGTTTTCTTGTCCATTGTTCACGCATTAGAAAACTCCGATGCTTCTTCTGCATCTTTGCCCATTTCTCCTACAGTCACCTCCCCTCTTCAGTTCACTAATTGGCTTGCTTCCCGGCTCGTGCATTTTTTTGACCATCTGTGCTTCCCCTGGTAAGCCTATTCTGTTCATCCCATATTCTGCGCCTTCACGTGCCACCGTGCTGTACGACAGATTCAACAACCTGGATGGGAGCAACAACTGACCATTTTGACATATTTGGAGCCCGCCTTCATCCCATCTCGTTTTGGAATTATCTTCTTGTCATTGGGCACTGAGATCCCCATAAATACATCTCGTCTCGAACATTGTGCACAGAGCCCTTTACGCCACATCGCAATCCAAGAAAACCAAAGAGCTGCATCACCATCCCGTCCCAAACCCGCCTGTCGACTTCCTCCCGCATCCTGACCTCGCAACCAATTATCCCTACCTTGCACGACATCAACCGTCTCTTTGCAACCCGAGCTGCCGACCCCCGATACTGGAATCAAGTCTCTGCATCGAGCTTACTAGCTGACGTCCTCGACGGATACGTCTTACAACCTCCACGCTGTGATTGCCATCTTTGCTGGACCCGCGCCTTGCTGCCGACCGCCATCTCAGAGCTACGTGTTGTGTAGGCCACACTCCCATCGACGCCGGCTGCTCTTGTCCAAGACTAGCTCGATTCTTTCAGGGAGGTTCGTGTTCTTGCGGTTGTCTCAAACAAGAAAAAGAGGCAAAGGTGACGGCGCGAGGCCGCCAAGGCGTGTGATTCCGGCACATCGCCGACCGGCGGAACAAGAAACAAGTTGACCACGGCCCTCGGCTCGACCGGCCCAAGAAACCAAGGCCCTGCGACAACAAAAGAAAAGCACAAAACAACAAGCACTGCGTTTTATGCCCAGCTCAAGTGCCGTAGGCTATCAACTCTGTGGCTCCCCCGGCCGCTCCTTCCCTGCGGGTTTATTTTGCACTCCGTCTCCTTCCCATTGCGGCTTCTTCAGGTCAGCTCCTCGCTCTTTCCCCATTTGAAGAGTAGCCCCCAGGAAGGCGCTACCGGCCTTCCTCTCGAGCCGCGTCTATCAAGGCAAGACCCAAGCAACCACCATCGCGACAAATCGGTTCCCTCTCTTCATATAGATCTACGACTCCGCAACATCATCCACCTACCCTACGGCCAGCATGGCACATCCACCCAACAACAATTATGTCGGATTGAACGATGAAGAAATGTACGCCACAGGGCATGCGGCCGACAGCAGCCATGATCGGGATCCAACATCAGATGCCGGAAACCTTGCCGACATGTCCTATGTGACCAGCATGCAAGAAAACTTTGGGGACTTTTTACACATGCTGCTCACCGACGTTCCTGAAGACGGCACACAAACGACTACAGTGCCTGAAGCAAGCGACCTCGTATTGCCGCAGACTTTGCAGCAAAATTCAATCCAGACGCAAAACAGCCTCGGGCTTGGACAAGGCCAACCGCCGTCGCCGCCGCCATTTGTACCATTGTATGTGAAGTCGCCAGCGGTTACCAATCACATTCGAGCATTTCAAATGCAAATGGACCACATCCCTCAGGTGCGCGCGGGCGCTGTCCAGGAGATCTCGAGCCTGCCGTGTCCTGGGCCGCCGCACGAGGTGGACGACGGACTTGGCCAGGACGTGGTACCTGTCCACCCGATGCTACAACCCTCCACACAAAATGGCTTCGTCTATGGCCCGCCCCAAGCCCCAACCGTGCATCCATCTTCTATGCAGGCACCTCCTATTGTACCGTCGACTTTGCCAAATTACAGTACGCCGTCCGACCTTGTTTCCACGGTAGACGCCAGCAGTTTCAATCTTTGGCTTTTCATCTCTCCCGATCGTATATTTTTTAACCCTAGCGACATATCGGACGTGTTTAGCTCCCCTCTCGCAATTCCGGAGAATCGGGGACAGGTTGGTATGCCAATGAGTACCAACCATGCTGAGACATTTCTCACAACGCCGAGTGATCAATGGCTCGACACGCAGTCCATGGGCAGGGACGGTAGCCAGCGTTTGGATGCCAGCGAGCTCGAGAGTGATGGCATCGGTAGCATTGTTGGGTCTGCCACTATCATACCGCAGTTGATAGGAGGCATCGAGTCAAGTACCTTGAGCAGCCATCAGGCCATGAACAGGGGTCCCGCCCTGGGCAACAATAACTTTCATTCCGCTTCAAATGTTGCGAATTGCGCCAGCAATGCTACGGCTGTTGCGAACGGCAGCCTCTCCATGCGCAGGACAGAGGGTAGTCGTCCAGCCAAGTATACACCCAACGGCCCTCAGCCGCGCTATGATCACCTGCTGGCCGGCAATTCTGCCATATCGGCCGCTGCTGAGGCCAGTCGCAGCACACGAACGGCTCCAGACTCCCACAACACTGAGCAGTTCACTCCGGTTCAAGATACGAAAGGGAAGAGAAAAGCAGTGGACACAAATTCGAATTTGGCAGAACATACAAGGGCAGTCGCACCGCACTTGACGTTGTTGGGGCCACAGCCTCAAAAGCGGGCCAAGTCGGACGGAAGTGCAGCGGCGGCAGCAGCAGCAACAGCAAGATTTGCGTCGTCGTGTTTGCCGACAGCGGATCATCAAGGCTCTTCCACAGCCTCCTTGTCTGCCGCCGCCTTTGTTGCCAATGGTAAAAAACAAAAAGGAGTGGCCACGGGGCCAAATCCAAGTCCAGCGAGGCCCCTCATGCCCAACCTGGGCCTCGCAGACGTGGCAGCCTCGTCTGCAGGACAACAAAACATTACTTGCACACAGTGTCAGTCCAACCCTGCAATGCCCCTAAAGACATACCCTACGCATGAATCGCTCAACGAGCATATCGACCACGCCCACCGGCGCTATTCGTGCCCTTTCGCCTTTGCCGGCTGCACAGTCAACTTTGCTGCAGTGACCGAGCTCAGACGACACGTAAAGACCATTCACTTAAAGGAAGAGTCCCGCACATGCCCACTCTGCCCGAATATGGACGCCTTTGCCCGCGCTGACAACTTCCGGGAGCACTGGCTGACAATGCATACGCCGGCCGACGTGAAGAACGGGCGCGAGCAGCTGGCCGAGAAGACAAAACAGGACAAGAAGATGAAAAAGGAACTCGGTCCGGGTTTGGCTCCGGGTCCGGCTCCGGGTCCAGACGCCGCCGCGACCGCCTCGTCCTTGCCCTCGTCTACGACGCTGCCCGGCTCCTCCTCCATGGACAAACAGATTCAAGACCACAATGAAATGTTGGCCAAGGTGGTCAAGGACGCGGTCATTATCAAGGACGTGCTCCCCAAGCTCATACAGTGTCGTGAAGAAGGCTGTGACAGAAAGTTTAAGACGACGACCCAAACGACGCAAAATGGCAAGCAAAGTGAACGAACGGCCTGGAGCGCGTGGGTCTCCCACTCTGTAAGCCACGCCCGGCAACAGCATGCTGCCTCAGAAACGGCTGGAGGCACTGGAATGTCACCGCCTTCACCGCTGTTACCGCCGCAGGCTAGTTTCGAAAACGACGACGGAACGTCTGTGAGCTTTGTCGAGTGGGCGGTAGAAAATAGCATCTTGGAGGAGGTCACGGGCGGTACCGGTGGCACCGGTGGCACTGGTGGCTCACGCTGGCAGCTGACGGCGTCGGCAAGCGGAAGCAGTCGGTGCCGCGGGAAACAGCGCAGACAACAAAACGGACAGCCAAGTGGGCAGCCAAGCAAGCAGCCAAGCGGGCAGGAAAACGTGCTACGAGGCGATCCGAAGGCCGAAGAGACTCGAGCTGAAGATGATGAAGTCATTGGAGATGACAACGGCGGCAGCGAAGATGGCCACTATGAGCCTGATCCCGACGCCGGTCAATACTACAAATACAACAATGACACTTACACCGGCGACCACCATGACTACTTTGGTTAGAAGCCAAAGAGGCCACTGATTGCGTACGCCGCGGGCCGAGATTTTTTTTTTTTACTGCTGTTTCAACGACAAGACAAAACGGTGGGATTTTATTTTCGGAACTCGGGACTCGGACAAGGCATAGGGAAAACACCACTGCAATACTGGACAATATGTTAGACAGCCATGCTAGACAACTACAGAATACCCTCCATGTGACAATATTGGTTTTCTTTATTGTTTTCACAACAACTGCTCGCGAGTGCCATGTTTGGATTTACACGATTGTTGGCCTTTTTTGGACTCACTTGTGAGATGTAATATGCCGTCAGTATTCACTTTGGCCAGTTGATCCACTCAGGTCGTTAATACCAGCTGTTCACCTCTTCTTTCGACTCTCTCTGTATCTTTATATATGTGTTATTTAAATCCTTATTGCTATGCATTCGCTTCGATGCAGCTCCGTATCGGGTCTGGCGAGTTCCATTCAGAGGTTTCCTGTTAGGCGCAGGACTGCGGAACGGTATCCGAAGGACGATGTCTTTAGGGGTCTCTTTAGCTCAGTCTGAAAAGCGCCTAGAGACGCCTGTTGACGCCGGAACTGTGAACGTTTTAGTCGAGGCCTCTTTTAGGGCACGTTGTGTTAACGTCTCTTAATAACAAGCTTAAAGCATTTTCTTGATTTGTCATAGGAACCCGAAACAACTGCATAGATTGCGTCTTTCTATATATTTCTTTTCTCCGTTTTCCAATTTCTAATCAAGAGGCACGACCGCGTATCAGTTACTTCTTGAGAAGCGGCAATCCTATTTAGAGGTGTATCAAATCAACCGACTGGACGTCAACTGGACTGCAACTGGACCCTACTTGCCTCTCCTCTACCCTCCCCAGACCTCCACTGACCCTCCCTCCGCAATGTCTGTACCTCCTGCCACACAGGCGAGCGCCAGGCTCGACGTCAACAACCTCTTTGCGACGACGGGCCAGGTCGCTCTGATCACGGGCGGTGGCACCGGCATCGGACTCGTCATGGCGCGGGCCATGGCCGAGGCGGGTGCGGCCAAGGTGTACATTGCAGGGCGGCGGCTGGCCGTGCTGGAGTCGGCAGCGGCGGCGGTCAACCGACTGGTGTCGCGGGACGTGCTGGTGCCTATCGAGCTGGACGTGACGTCCAAGGCGAGCCTGGCCGCGGCGGCGGCGTTTGTCGACAAGGACAGCGGGTTCCTGGACGTCGTGGTCTCCAACGCGGGCGTGCCGGGCCCGCAGACGCCGACGCCGGCCGACAACGATACGACGACGACTCTTGCCGAATGGCGCGCAGCGCAGCTCGCGGTGGACCCGCAAGCGTACCAGGACACGTTCAAGGTCAACACGACGGCCGTATGGTTCACGGCGATTACGTTCCTCGACCTGCTGGACGCGGGCAACAGGCGGCGCAACGACAGCCTGGGCGCGGCCCGGCCGACGTCGCAGGTGGTGGTCATCTCGTCGCTGGCCGGGTTCAATCGCAAAGCACCGGCGGGCTTTGCGTACGGACAGTCCAAGTCGGCGGCGACGCACGCGGCCAAGCAGCTGGCCGTGCTGCTGCCGCGGTGGGGCATCCGCGTGAATGTGGTGGCGCCAGGGCCGTTCCCAAGCGAGATGACGACGGCGTTCGTGGGGGCGCTGGGGGCGACGACGGACCAGGAGGTGATTCGGATCGACAAGGCGCACGTGCCGCTGGGCCGGATTGGCGATCAGCAGGACATGGCCGGGACGATTCTGTACCTGGTGTCGCGGGCGGGCGCGTTTCTGAACGGCAATGTGGTCTTGCTAGACGGCGGTCGTCTAGGAGTGTTTCCGAGCATGTACTAATAGTCGGTGGTGCCGTGCCTTGTTCCATAGAAAATAGAGTGTCGAGGTCGACATTGCCTTGTCCCGGTGCCTCGCTGTCTCGTCTCGTATCGGTTGCCATCGTGGGTGTGGTGATCTCGGACCCACTAGCCATTCTACGCAGTAGAAATGAACGGCCAAGACGGCCGACGTCGAAAGATTGAGCAGATGTTTGGGCGTGCGCTGCGGATGATGTAAGCATGTGGCAGTACTGGAAGGTGCGATGAGATGACGGGTTGGGTGAGGAAGTAGCAAAAGTGAACAAGTGGAAGGAACAACGCATGACAAAGTACAGAGGAAGGAACGAGTTCTAGTTCTTGGAAAGGAAAGAGGCATTGACATCTCCCATCGTAGCATCATCTCCCCTTTGCCATGACGTGAAGTCTCACTGTTTCTAAAGAATACGATCCCAAATGCCGACAGCAAAACAATCACGCAGTCACTGGTCTCCTCATACCCGGCCTAGGAAGACCATCTCGGAGACGAAACGAAATTGAAAAGGAATAGAAGGCAAAATGGAGCAAGTAATTGTGATTTATGTTCCTTTTTGAACACTGTGATCCCTTCGTCACTTCCGTAATCATCACCACTCGTCATCACTTGTCATCACTCGTTATCTCTCGACATTACCACTAGTCACTCGTCACCATCACTAGTCATCGTCACTCGTCATCACGACTGTCTCTCCTCGCCTGCACGTCTCTTCCGATTTACCTTATATAGTCATGTCCCTCGCCGCCAACACTCTCCATCACAACTGCGGGCCATGCAACGCGGAGGGCTTTTCTGACGAGTGGCTGCAGCTTGAGAAGCAGCTCGGCTTTTGCCCAGCCGTCAACTTCGAGGACACCGTCGAGCAGCATCGACATGTACTGGAGGACAGATGTGCCACGTGGGACGAGATGTCCCTCACGCCTGATCTGCCAGACAATATCACAACCAGAGACACCACCGTCCCCAGCAAAAATGGCCAACCCGTGCCCGTCCGCATCTACAAGCCAAACTGTGGGCCGTCGTCACCGTCGTCGCCAGCGTCTTCTCGTCCGTCTGGCCGCCCCTGCGCCGTCTACATCCACGGCGATGGATGGACCCTGGGAAGCATCCAGACCGACGACCTCTTTGCACGCATGATTGTTCGCGATGCCGGCCACGTCGTCGTCAGCATTGACTACCACCGCGTACCCGAGCTCATTCACCCGACGGCCAGTTACGACTGCCTGGCCGTCTTCCAGGGGACCGTGGCGCATGTGGGTGGACCCCGCGAAAATCTACGTGACTGGAAACGCAAGTTGGCAAGCCGGCGATCGGGCAACGTTGGCTGAACGCTCTATTGCCCTCTCTTTTACGCATGTTCATCATTATGCATACAACTAAAGGAACGTATTGCGACGTGTTCGAATCTGCGACTTTTTCACGTCAGGGTTTTGTCATATTTGGCTCTCCGAGCTGTCACTTCTCCCTCGCTTGTCAATCACCTTTGGAGACATTCATGGCAAGGCCCATACGCAGAAAAGTGCACATTGCCGCCGTGCCAACCATAATCATCTTCTAGCCCATGCACTCTGTGCCACGCACAAACGAATTCCGCTCTAGCTCTTGTCCTGGACGGATGCCTGGAAACCGCAAAACTCACCACTCTTTGCAATAAACAATCATGATGCTTCTTGCAACATGTTACCAAAAACTTCCTCACACGAGCACGGCAACAACGACTTTTATTCTTTTCAACTGTTGGCTCGCCGTCGCCATGACGAAAACATCCAAAAACGCCGACGCTGGCCCCGTCAAGACGACGAAAGAGGACCGCAAGGCCAAAACGCCGTCGAAGGCATCCAAAGGCGGAACAAAGCATCACTGGTAAGTGGATGAGTGGGAGTGTGGCTGAAGTGCCAAAAGCCCAAAGAGAGACTGCAGACTAAAGCATGCCCAATGTTATTACACGACAGCCCGGTATGTTTCAAAATGGCATCGCCGCGGTGTACGGCCAAAGGTCACTTTGTGGTGTGTCCGATTCATGGCAACCATCACAACGCACGACAGGGCTGTGTCAAATGCCAGTGCGAAAGGAAACGGAGTGAAAGGTTGGAGAGGACAGAGAGAATGGAAAAGCCGGAAAGGACGAAATGAATGGAGACGATGGGAAACTTGCAAAGAAGCAACAACGTTGTGGGATAGTAGGCAGAATATACATTGGAGACACACCAGCATCGTCGTATATGACAAACTCGTCCACCATACCACCCGCCATCGACACTCAACACCGCCCTAATACGAACTGCTGCTCGCAGCTGCCCATCGTCATGGCCTGCACCTCGTCACAGTACGCGTTCTGCTCTCAGAAATAAACACACACCGTGCGCTTCCCGTTACTCTCTGTGGCCATCGCGCACTGGTTCCACTGCGCCTTTCAACTCGTTTCACTTCCCCACAAACACTGACTCTCTCCGTCTTCTGTTTCGTGGCTATCAATATGCGTCCCTCTTTCTGTCTGGCCTCACTCTATCGCTCTGTGGGTCTAGGAAGGAGAGTTTCCGAGGGCGATAAACAGGCCTTGTGAGCTTACCTTGCAGCGTGTTTTCCCCAGACTTTTTGGCTGCAGTGGGGAAGCCTTTCCGAACCACACCAAGACATGAACTCGATCTCACGCTAGTCTGCCCTGTTTACTTTTGAAATGAGGAGATAATAAAGGCATCATGAACATAGTTGTTAGTAGGTAGCAACGTCCCATCCGCTTTCATCCCTTGTCTGCATTTCTCTATATGGACAGCCCATTGCAAGACGAAAACACCGAATATTCTCCTGTGGTCAAACATGTCATAGCCCCTGGCGTGAAACCCAGCCTCAAAACACAGACCTATTTGGCAGTCCGTTCTGTTGTGAAAAACATCTTCCCTCTCCTCTTTACCCCGTATGGTGAGCCGGCGATCATAGGCCGACTGCATGGCCCAGGGCCGCCTTGCAACATGCACGATCGACTACTCGACCCCGGTCTGTAGTAGATCTCTGCCACTCCGTCCTCTTGTCCATGATAACTATAATATATTGCCGTTGTTTAGCATCACCAGCTGTCTCCCTCCTTTACGAACGCTCTTTCCAAAAAGGGACATTGAACAAACTATGTACACCTCGTGGGCAGTTATCGTCCGCCCCGCAAAATTGCATCGTTCCTTCCTCCTTCTCTTCTTCGTTCCTGCTTCCTTCACCATTGGCAACGACCGTCCATCATGCCTTCCCAAGCAAAGGACTACCACTTTGAACTGCCCGACAAGGCCATCAACGATACTCGTCCGGTGCGCGTCATCTGTGCCGGCTCCGGGTTCAGCGGCGTATGTGCTTCCATCTGTCTGCCGCAGCGCATCCCCGACATTGACCTCGTCATCACCGCCACCGGCTTCGACACCTCGTACCTGCCACGCTACCCCGTTGTCGGCCGCAGTGGCGTGTCCCTCGAGCAGATGTGGACCGAAGCCGCACTACCCCGAGTCCTATGTCAGCGTCTGGGCCGAGAGCATGCCCAACTACATGGTGTTCTTGGGTCCCAACGGCGCGCCGCCGTCCGGATCCTCCATCCTGGCTATTGAGTCGCAGGCCGAATACATTAGTTACTGCATCCTCAAGTGCGTGCGCGAGGGCCACCGCACCATGGCTGTCAAGCACGATGCCCTCAAGGCGTTCCGTGGCTACATTGACTCGTACGTGCCGCGGACCGTCTACACCAAGCCGTGCACGTCGTGGTTCAAGCGCGGCACATCCGAGGGCCGCATCGTCACTCTGTTTCCCGGCTCGGCGAATGGCTACCGCAAGATGCTGCAGCACCCGCGGTGGGAGGACTTCAACTTTACAACAACGGCCGACTCAGCCGTGAATCCCTTTGGCTGGATGAGTGCCACCATGACGTGCGGCGAGATGGACGAAACCGACCCAACGCCGTACCTGCGAGACTTTGACTTTCCGCCGGTTGTGGATGGGGCGGAGGACGGCAATGGATCGAGGGAAACAGACGTGGGTGCAGAAAAGGAGAAGGCGGCGGCCAAGGTGACGCCAGTGACCACTGCAGTCTAGAGCGTCGTCGAGTAGTCTTTTCGTGGTTCGTGCAAGGCAAGAGTTGGAATCACTTTTTTTTGAATATTTCAATATAAAAATTAGATAGACGTCAGAAACGATAAGATCAAAAGAGACGCGCAGGATAACGAAATGCCTCAATTGTTTCCGTCGGGACTCCCGAGGTAACCAATCTTGCTCGGAACTTCCGACTTATACCAAGTTGGGCCTGGGCGCGACCCAGACCCGACCTCATCGCATAACATCGGCTAGTAAAGGTTGTTCCGAGTTGGCGGAATCAACAATCGGTGAGAGCCGACGGCGTGATAATAGCTGCTTGCGTCAGGTCACGTCCACGTTGCCAATGCAGTTCTGGCTCACCATGCCGACAATCCATTCAAGTAAATATCTCGCTTGAAATTCGGATGCTCGCAAGGAGGATCGCTTTACGACTTAATTCCGACCGGTGTGTCTAGACGATTGTGTCCAGGGTGGCCGTGCTCGGTAGGTGTGCACTTCCGTTTCTTGTTCCGTCAAACGGGAAAACACCTCAAGCTAGCATGGCCAGTGTTCGGGTCAACAAAACAAAAGAGGCAACTGAAGGACGGCGTCCTTCCGTCACTTATCGTCGTCGTCGTAAATCGCCATTTGTTCTTCCCTCTCTTCCGAGGTTGGCATCTTGCGGCTTGCCGTATTTCTTGCCGCGGGCCCCCAAATACTGCATACATCACCGGTCCCGGCCCGGCACGCTAGGCCCAAAATTGCCGTCTGGGACAGATACGTGACCGGGCCTACCGGCTATGTTGACTGGCCTGAGCCGAGAATTCAAGGCCTCGTCAATGGACAAGGGTCCACCCTGACATGGTCTGATGAAGGAGGAAAAAGAAGAAGAAGGCGCCAGGATGGCACCCGAAGCGGCGCCGGGTCCATCATAATATCGACGAATGTTCCGCATCGTTGTGGGGGCAGTTGGCCAGCAGCCAGCTTAGATACGTGGAGCGTCCTAGTAGCTCAGTGGAAGGCGACTCCATATGATGAGTACGCTAGTGTAGCTGCAGCAGTAAGGCGATTGTGACGGATAGTTGTGGAGATGGCGGGTGGATTGGACAGATTCCATTGTGGTAACGATGCAGCAAACAGCCATCAGAAGCCATAGTTTGTATTCTGTAACGTGTTAGGAGTTATGCACCTAAGCAGAAGAGTGATGGTTGTTAACATACTGGGAAAGTGCCATGCAGTGAACCGCTTCCTTTCCGTGCTCTTTCTCCGAAAACAACCGGGAGTCAATGTGCGTTGTGGGACTGCCGCCTGAACAAGCGTAACTCGGAGAAGGAGCTGACGGCACGACACAGTAAGCGGGTATATGTACGGAGCAAGCCGAACTGAAGAGGCTTAGTGACGGCTATCTATGAAATACGATACGGCTTCGGAATATGTCATAACGACGATTGGAGACCCATCTGAAATACTCAGTGTCCCCAGCTAGATTCTAGCCAGCCCCATGCGCGAGACACTCCAGCAAACCGCCTTTATGTCCGCAAGAAGTCGAAGTGCGAGGTCGACGACGCAAAAGAAAACAAAGGAAAGCAAATGAATTACGAAAGCTTCGAGACGGACAGGGGATAAATGAGTTGCAGTAAATTAAGAGCGTTGGTAGACAGCGACAGAGGTCGTGGGCTCCTTCCTCGAACGTTGTCAAAGGTGCAATCCTCAAGCGCACTTGCCGAGTGGGTCGTTCTCACGGCATACAAAGCATATATGTCATCCCGCATTGAACAGAAAGGCAAGAACGCATCCATAACCCCAGCCGGCAAGAACGGCCAGCCGCCGCGACATCCATCCAAGAAATCCTCATATGTAATAAATACGTCGTCAACCAAACAGCCTGCCGTACCATTGGCTCGCGCGCGGAAGAATACCCCGCACTTCACAGGCCGTGCCCATTGTTGCAGAGAGGCTGCGGCCCAAGAAAGGACCCGCTCTTGTCTTCTGGAGTCGACGCGCCTTGCAGCTCTTCACGCGATGCAGGCACGAGGGCAGGGGAGATATCGCATCCAGGGCGATGGAGACGACATCTACTTCTTATTCAGGAACAAGCGTCGTGGACATATCGAAGGGCAGCATCGGAGCGATGGAGATCAGGGGAAATGGAAAAGAGACAGGAACCAGGGACAAAGGAGGCGTCAAAAAGACCATCCACCACCGTTCGAGACCACAAGAGGGTTGGGTCACTGGTTCAAGAAAAGTACTCTATAATGGTTGCTTCCCATCTAAGTAAGGCGAAGGAGCAGCATTCCACAGAGAACATTGAAAACCACACAACCAGCGAAATGAACATATGCCGACAGCCTATTTGCATCCCAAACGGGATGGATGGCCTGTCATAGTCGTGGTCACAGGATGATGGAGGGTAGCGAGGACGAATGAGCACTTGCAGAAAGAGGGGAAAGGCGACACGAGTGTGGCCACCACGCAGAACGTACGAGCCAAAGAGCGAGCAGAAGAATAAAGGGCCGCTCAGACAAAGCAAAAATAGCGGTTCGAGATGGATGGTGGCCTAGCTGGCGTTGATCGACGGACAGAGGGAGGTGCAATGGTCAGATACTTATGAGTGACAATGAGCGTCGATTTCGGAACGAGCAGAAACACAGGAAGAGGGGAAAGGCACGCTTGTGATGTCAATCGCGCACACAAAGAAGATGCACGAGTACAACGCCATGGCAACACATGAAGCACGGCGTACTTCACCAACCCATCGCATCGCCATGATTTCGAATGCGCAACCGCTCCAGAGGAATCTTGCGCCTCGATCACCAAACGGACATCGCTTTTGACCGTCCCAGAAACTGTTCGCATCGACCTGTCATCACGCATCCGTTCAAGACGACGCCACATCATGCTGCTTGTCTTGTACCATCGCCGGCCCAATCTGGACATCCGTGATATGCGGTGGCGTTACTTGTTCTGTCCCTCTCTCACGCACACTGGTTCTGACTTAGACCAGGTCACGAAAAAGTCACTTCCCCCTCCCTCTTCCGTCCTTTTGTGCGGTCTTGCGCATCCCCCCTCCGCCTCACTTTGCCTCTTTCTTTCGCTCTTTCTGGTGCTCTTTTTCGATGCCGACCGCGCCTGCCCGTAGTTAATTCTGTAGCGCCCGACCAGTTCCTGCCCATTCCTCCCTGTCTTCCTGACTTACGTTTGCTCTTTCCTTCTGCACAGCCGTTCTCGCGGTTGCTCTTGCCCATCGCTCTTGCCATTACTGCCGTTCTCGTAGCTGCCTTATCCCATCTGTCCTTCCTTTTATTCTGGTGCTTCCTCACCATCTTGTTATCTTGCTCCCCTGACCATCCACCCATCCTCTGTCTTCTCTATTATCGTTCCTCTTTGCCAATATCTCTAGGGGCGTTCTCGTGCCTCAATCTCTGTCACGACCAACCAGGACTACGCATCCGAACCTGCCTCGCAGCGACTCACAGCATCATAGCCTGCTAACGGACTCTCTCCAATCCGAAGCCCTGCAGACTGCATCTTCCCTGTGTGACCGAAACACTCAGCATTCCTGTCATCCTACTCTAGGACTTTTGTCGTTATCTGCAGGCTTAAGACATCGTCTCTTACCTTACTTTCTTCATCGACGGACCTCCTGTGCAAGCGTATGGCCTTCTCGCTGATATCCGACAGGCTATACACCTAACCAGCTTTATATTTCGAGGCCCTCTCTCGATATCCGTTTCCTTTATTTGCTCCAACGTCATCCAATTGTCGGACTTGTTCATTTCAGCTTTCGTCCCAGCTCTCCCCTCTCTTTCTCTCTCGTCACTTACGTCTTCTTTGTCTGGTTTTGCCGGTGCGCGTGCCCATTACCATACCAGCATACCACACACGCTACCACCCAACTTTCCAAGGTCTCTTACACACCCTCGTCTGACCTCCGACTTTCTCCATTCGGATTACCACAAACTAGGGCACTAGTTGGGGCAACCAGCGACAAACAATCAGAGCAAACGAGCTCTTGTTTTGCAAAACCCCGCATCTCTCCGCACATATCAGAACCAACAATCGACCGAAACGACCGAAAAGAAGAAGCCAGAATAAAACGAAGGCGTTCTCGCTTCACGTGTCTCTTTTACCTGTCTGCTTATTGACCTAGCCGAGCCTTGTTTAGAAGCTTTGAAGCTCCAGAGCCTTTTGGTACGTCACAATATGTCTGCCCGTTTTCATATTTTATCTTTTCTTGCTTTTGTTGTGTTGTCTCCAACTATGCCCACATACGCTCCCGGCCGGTCAACTCCAGCGCCATGCAGCTTGGTCATCTGCGTGTCCGTTGCCGCCCCTCTGAAATACCCACTCTCGTCATGACGTCCCCAAAATGACCAAACCACCCAAAGCACACTCGCATAGCGACTGACTTACACGGTCATTTCGGCTCCACTCTCTCACGCTTGGCCTTAACCTCCCTCCCACTGGTGGGCGAATTAAGATCGCAATGCAGCGAAAAATCGCAGCGAAAGTCTATGAAAAGCCCAACGAGAAAAATAAAGAAACAGCTACGGAGACTTCCTTATCCCCTACTCCACTACCAGCAATGACCTCACCTCCACTATGGGCCGGATTGCTTGCCGTCTATTCTCGTCCTTTTCCCGTCTAGCACCGCTCTTTCGCTGCCGCGGACGGCGGCCCTTGCGTCTGCGTGCTTCGCAAACACCCACCTATCCATTGGTTTACCGAAAAACCCTGTCGTTCCCGAAAATACCCCCAAACAGGCGAACGTCCTAGGCCCAGCCCGACCAACCAAACACGGCAGAGAAACAACTCATCCTCCCCCGTCTGTGCATTGATTGGATTGGCATATCCACTTCACTTACACGCTGCCAGCCTTCCTCTGTCCACGCTGAACCTCTACATTTTCCTCCCTTCTATTGTGTACAGATGCCTCATCTTGCTTCCGAGATAGGCCAAGCGGCCAGTCAGCCTCCCCTCCTATCCAATAAGCGGGTTGTATCTCAGCAAACGAACGACGAGAAAACGTTCGGCTCATCGTCGGCTACACGATCCAACGACGACTCAGCCCACTCATCCTGGCCACGGAATTATTTGGGCAACCAGAACAAGCAGCCACGAAGGCAAGGCATCTGGCATGACATTCTTATTTGGCGAGGACAATGGAATAGTCTCCAAAATTGTTTTTCTCGTTTCGTCTCCTCTTGGGTATGGCGCCTTTTATGATGACATGGCCTGGCCAGCTACAAGAGTTCAGACCAATCGCTGGCCACACAAGCGTGTGGGTGGATCTTTACTTCTCTTCGGAACATGTCACTCAATTTCTCTATCTGCCAGCAGCTACAGAGATGCCTGCAAATGTCACAGCGACCATCAGAGGCTGAAACGTTATGGTATCACCATATTATTTGTTCCGGAAGAATCGCCAGCAAAGGCGGACGAACAAGCACCTGCTTGGGGATGACTCGTTTTGGTTCTTGCTTTTTTCCTACTGAAGTTCAATTTTTGATTCTATCTTTTACTTCTGATCGTTTCTTCAATTTCTCTTTCATTATTCCTTTCGTCCGTTATCATTTCTTGCATGGTCATGCAGTTCACGTTGTTCTTTTGAAGCATCTCATATTGCCATCACGTCAACTTACCAATGACCAGTCTTTACTAATAAGTCTTTCGGAACAGTCATTGTTTTATTTTGTATAATTGATATACATATACGCTCCGGCGCCAGACTACGTTATTTTCCATTTTTGTCCATCAACTCAAATCGTTCCCACATATAAGACGCCACGTCCCCCCTTCACTCCCGAGAAAATCTCCCCTCCTACCAATATGAGCAGCAACACCATCAAGCAGGCAGCTGAAGCGGCCCGGTCTAAGTCATCCGAAGTTATGAATTCAGCCAAGAGCGAAGCCGCCGTCGTGGCTACGGCCACTGCCGACTTCCTTCACACGCCCCTCGTGCGTGCCGCCCTCCCCTTCATCAACGGTGGCCTCAGTGGCATGGTCGCCACCACCGTCATCCAGCCCGTCGACATGATCAAGGTCCGCATCCAGCTTGCCGGTGAAGGTGTCGCCGGTGGCCCTAAGCCCACCCCGCTGTCCGTCACCCGTGAGATCTTGGCCAGCGGCAAGGCGCTCGACCTGTACACCGGCCTATCTGCCGGCCTTCTGCGCCAGGCTGTATACACCACGGCCCGCCTGGGCTGTTTCGATACCTTCATGGGTCGCCTGAGCGTTCGGGCCCGCGAACGTGGCCGTGCCATTGGCTTTGGTGACCGTGCCACCGCCGGCCTGGCGGCCGGTGGCATCGCCGCCATGATCGGAAACCCAGCCGATCTTGCCCTTATCCGCATGCAGAGTGACGGCCTCAAACCCATTGCCGAGCGCAAGAACTACCGCTCGGTCATTGACGCCCTCGGCTCCATTGCCCGTTCCGAGGGCGTGGCCGGTCTCTGGGCCGGTGCGGCACCCACCGTAGTGCGTGCCATGGCTCTCAATTTTGGCCAGCTGGCCTTCTTCAGCGAGGCCAAGGCCCAGCTCAAGGAGCGCACGACGATGTCGACACGCGCCCAGACGCTAAGCGCCAGCGCCATTGCCGGCTTCTTTGCCTCATTCTTTTCCCTGCCCTTTGACTTTGTCAAGACACGGCTGCAGAAGCAGCAAAAGGGTCCCGACGGCCGGCTCCCATACAAGGGCATGGCCGATTGCTTTACCAAGGTGGCCCGCCAGGAGGGCATCTTGCGCTTCTACCGCGGATTTGGCACGTACTACGTGCGCATTGCACCACATGCGTAAGTGCATTTCCCTAGCCAAGGCTGTTTCTCTGTAACCCCCCCCCCCCACCCCAGCCTGGCTCTTCCTCCACTACCTCTCATCCAAGCCCACAAAACCGTTTGTTTGTTTGTTGTGTTATTTAAATATGGACATTGACGCTAATAACGCTGCAGTATGGTGACGTTGATTGTTGCCGACTACCTCGGTTGGCTCACCAAGTAAACGGAACAAGCCATCCTAAGCCTGCCACAACCGTGCTGGCCGCTTACAGTTGAATTTTTTCTGGTTTATGGTTTTATGTTTTGGTGTTTTTGTCGTTTCCGTCTGCTACTGGCCTCCATTTCTATTTCCTTGCTGTCTTGTCTGCTTCTCTGCACACGCCGTTTTAAGATGCTCTAGTACATACCCTGGTATTCTGTATACCTTGATTTTGTCGACTTCGTCAAACTTTGGTCTTTTCTAAGACGAGCGGCGAAAACGAAATCAATCACGAATAAATATATGACAGTAAAAGGTCTCCGTCCCAACTTTGTGAGAAATAACGTTGTGTGTAAAATTGTGTGACGAAGGTCCGTAATGTACATGTAGTTCGGTAGTGATCTATTCAGTATTTTTGTACCAGGGAATGTCCGTATTGATGAACTTAGTTAAGCCTTATCGGGTTGCAAGCTGGTATAATTTTTCATGCCCATTAACCTTCGTTATATTTTATCTTTGTATTTTAGATTATTATTATTATTATTATTAATGTTATTTGGAAATCAACAAACTCAGGTAAATTAAACACAACTTCACAGTAGCAGTTTATAGCGCAGCCTTATGAAATACGTACATAGAAACATTGCAAAAAGACAATTTACAGCTTTGCCTTGCCCTTCTTGCGTTTGTTCGCGCTGACATGCGCAGTCCTAATACGCCACGCTGTCGGATAGCCCTCGAGGCTATTAATGCGCCGGCCCGCTTCAAGTCCACTCACGTGACTGACCTTGAATCGGCGCGCCAGCCACTACCCCACTCCAAGTCAACAAGCACCGCGTCCGGGCCCGCATGAGCAGCGCACGCGCAGTGCGGGTTGCTCTTGCCTCTCCCGCCATAAGCTGCACTAGCCCCTTTCCGTTACGGGCGCCTGCACCCCCCCCCCCCTTGCCTTGCGACGCTGTTAGCGATTAGGTTCCCCATCTTTCCTTCAATTGACCTCACTTTCAGCTTCATCACGTCGGCGTCCAACATATGCTGCAGATGAGATTGACACTCTTCGAGCCGCTCGTACCACCCCTACATCCGCCGATGCAGCGTATTTGACCGCCCCCACACTTCAAGTACGGACAATGTGCGCGAGAGGCAGCGGTCCCCGACCTTAATCTTCCTTCTTCTCCTGCAGTCCACCCCGTCCGCGTCCAATAACGAATCCGAATAAAAAACACGACAAGCACCCCCCGTACGACGACGTCTCCCGGGAATGTGATCCCGCGGCCCGACGGCAAATGGATCCCGAGTGGACAGAGATTGCTTGCGTGCAGCTCAGCTCGTCCAATGGCGGCCAGGAGGAGCCCGCAGCCACGCCCGTGTCAGCGCTGGCCTTTGACACGACCCAGGAGCTGATGTGGACGGGCAACAGTGAGGGCCGCGTGGCCGCCTTTTACGGCTCGGAGGTCCAGAGCTACGTGTCGTATGTCATGCAGCCGACGACCGACGGCGAGGTGCGCCAGATCCTGCTCAACGACACGGGCGTGCTGTCGCTGGGGCCGCGAGGCCTGCACATGGCGCTGCGCCGGGGTCTGCCGCTGTGGAACTGCCGCCACGAGGCCATGGTCGACATGTGCTGCATGGCCTTTACATCGGCGTCCATGTCCGAGGTGCTCGTGGCCGGTCGGCAGCCCACGATGCTCGTGGTGGACCTCAAGGAGGGCGACGTTGTGCGGCAGATCGAGACGGCCGAGAACTACACTCTCATGAAGCGCAACAGCCGCTTCATCTGTGCGGCCACCGTCCACGGCACCGTCGACATTATTGACCCGGCGACCTTTTCCGTCCTCAAGAGCTGGACCGCCCACTCCGCCTTCATCCACGACATGGATGTGCAGGCGGACTTTTTGGTCACGTGCGGCGCGACCTTGAAGCAGCAGGGCTCCGTCATGTTCGACCCGTACGTCAACCTCTTCGACCTCAAGCAGATGACCTCCATGGCGCCGATCCCCTTCCCGCCGTGTGCGGCCTTTGTGCGGATGCATCCGCGCATGGTCACGACGGCGATTGTCGCGTCCACATCGGGGCAGATACATATTATCGACCTCATGAGCCCGAACACGAGCAACGTCAAGCAAGCGAACATTGCGTCGTATCTGGCGCGCATAGAAATCTCTCCGACGGGCGAAGCCCTCGTGCTTGCCGACAGCGACTGTTATGTGCATCTCTGGGGCTCGCCGGCGCGCATCCAGTTTACCGAGTACCCAACCATGATTGAGACGGAGACGGTCGAGCCGCCGCACAAGGAGACGGAGTGGGAGGAGTGGTCTGACGAGGAGAACGACGACACGCTGCCGTTCAATATTGTTGGTGTCCCGTACTACCGTGACGTGCTTCTGTCGGCCTTTCCCAGCCTTGTGTCGGACGTCGGCGCGCCGCCGCCGCGCTACGACCACAGCATGCTCGAGGCGATGACGCCCTTTGAACACGGCTGGTACGCACCCAACACAGCGGGCACACTGCCGAATCAGGTCGAGGACACGCGCAAGGACGAAAACAAGACGACCCAGACCATCCAGGCGCCCAAGTTCTTGAGCGAGCGGTCGCGCGACGGCGGCAACAGCAGTGCCGCGCAGCCGGCGTTCCCCAACAGCGTCGACGAGATCGGTGCGGCCCTGGCGTCGTCGGAGCTTGCTAGTCTCGGCCCCGAAGCGCCGGGTATGTACCGGAACGTGGAGATCAAATTTAGCAAATTTGGTGTCGACGATTTTGATTTTGGCTATTACAACCGCTCGCGGTATGCCGGCTTGGAGAACCACTTTGCCAACTCGTACGCCAACGCGCTGCTGCAGCTGCTGCGGTTCACGCCGACGATCCGCAACCTGGCACTGCAGCACGCCGCAGGTGCGTGTCTGGAAGACCAGTGTCTGCTGTGCGAACTGGGCTATCTCTGCGACATGCTGCAGAAAGCCGAGGGTGCCACGTGCCAGGCGACCAACATGCTCAAGACGCTGAGCAGCCTGCCGCAGGCACACCAGCTGCGGCTGATTGAGGAGGAGAACCCCAACACGCCCATCACCGAGATGCTGCAGAATCTTACGCGGTTTCTGCTGACACAGATCGCCGGTGACTTCAGCCGCATGCAGCCCGACTCGACCGCCATGGAGGACGCGCTGGCTACGTCGGGCATCACCTACATGCGGTGCATGGCCTGCCGAAGCGAGACGAAGCGGCCCGTGTCGACATACGTCAACAACCTCAAGTACCCAGCGCCACAGCGCACGACGAGCCGCGGGCCCAAGTTCCCCAAGGTGACGTTCTCGCAGGTGCTCAAGTCGAGTGTGGAGCAGGACTCGTCGACCAAGGGCTGGTGCGAGGTCTGCAAGCGGTACCAGACGCTGCTCAACCGCAAGACCATCACCAGCATCCCGTCGGTGCTGACGCTGAACGCCAGCGGGCCCCAGAACCTCAACTACCCGGAGCTGCGGCGGCTGTGGGGCACGCCCGGGTGGCTGCCGGACGAGATTGGCATCATTGTCGACACGGCGGGCCAGTTCTTCTGCTACGAAGGGGAGGACTTGAAGCTGCACCTTCAGCGCGGCATCCACGACATCAAGGTGTATTCGCTGATCGGCATGGCCGTGAGCGTCGACAATGGCGGCCAGCCGGCCAAGTCGCACCTCGTCGCCATGGTCAACGTTGGCTACTCGGAGCCCACGCCGCCGGAGCAGCCGCAGTGGCACTTGTTCAATGACTTTTTGGTGCGCCAGACGTCGCCGGGCGAGGCGCTGTCCTTCAACACGAACTGGAAGACGCCGTCTGTGGTGCTGTTCCAGCTCAAGAGCGACAACAACAAGATCGACATGGAATGGCAGAGCCGCATCGACACGTCGGTGCTGTACATGGACAACGAGATGCCGCGGCAGCAGCAGCAGCAACAACAGCAGGCTGGAGGAGGCGAGGCCACGTATCGCCCGCTGTCCCCGACGCACGAGCGGCCGGGCCCCGACACGATTCTGGCGATCGACACGGAGTTTGTAGCGCTGAAGCAGCCCGAGATCGAGATGAACTCCGAGGGCGAGATGGAGACGATCCGGCCCATGACGCACGCGCTCGCGCGCGTGTCGGTCGTCCGCGGCCAGGGCATGGACGAGGGCGTGCCGTTCATCGACGACTACATCATCATCAAGGAGCCCGTGGTGGACTACCTGACGCTGTACTCGGGCATTACGGCCAGCGACCTCGACCCGCGCAAGTCGACGCACACGCTCGTGCCGCTCAAGCGCGCCTTCAAGAAGCTGTGGGTGCTGCTCAACCTGGGCTGCAAGTTCTTGGGCCACGGCCTGAAGCAGGATTTCCGGGTCATCAACATCCAGGTGCCTAAGGCGCACATCATCGACACGATCGACCTGTTCTTCCTCAAGACCCGCCTGCGCAAGCTGTCGCTGGCGTTCTTGGCCTGGAGCGTGCTCAAGGAGAACATCCAGCTCGAGACGCACGACTCGATTGAGGACGCGCGCACCGCCCTCAAGCTGTACCGCAAGTTCCTCGAGTACGAGGACGCCGGCATTCTCGAGACCCAGCTGCAGGAGATTTACCGCGAGGGCCGCGACACCAACTTCAAGCCGCCCAAGCGCAACGGCGACGACAACGAGCTGCGCCGTGGCACCGACACGCCGCCCGTGGGCGCGCCGGCGCCGGGCTCGGCCGTGAGTCCGCTCCTCGCGCGCAGCCAGCCGGCGCCGCCAAGCATTACGGCGGCGGCTGTCACTGTGGCCAATGCCATCAGGGAGAGCAACAACGTCCGCACCGCCTCGACCAGGACACCGACCGCCCCGAGCGGTGGTCTCGGTGTGCCGGTGTCGGTCCCACCTACCAGCACGCCGGCTACGGGCAACACCTTGGCGCACAGCGGCGGTGGGAACAACGTCAACGTCAACAGCAGCAGCAGCAACAGCAGCAGCAGTGGTGGTGGCCGGCACTTTAACAGTCGGCCAAATGCACACGGCCCTCTGCCCGGCGGACGTATTCATGGTGCCAACGGCGGTGGCAGTGGTCGTTACCACCCACCGAACTCGTACCGGAACAACCAGAGCGGGCAGCACGACGGCAACAGCAGCAGCAGCAGCAACGGCCACAGCGTGCCGTATCGTCAATACCGACGGGGCTAGCGGTCCCGCCGGCGTCGCGGTAGTCTGCCATCTTGAAATGGTTTTAAGGACACCCTTCGTATTCCTTATTGACGACATACGTCGACTATCAACATCGCGACGACACGAGCCATCGTTTTCTCTCGAATATTCTATGCACAGTTTTTGTCAATTTATTATCACCAATGTTGATTGATTGTGCATTACAATACAGCCATTATAGGCCCCGCCCTCGCTTTTATCGCCAGGCTTGTTTATATGAATTTTTATCTCTTATTTCTCGTTGTATTTTTCACGGCTGGCGGTCTTGTAGAGGCAGGCGTCCAAAACGAGGGCGAGGCGGGCGGTTTGTGCTTGTGTCCCTTGTGGGAAAGTCAGAACTGGGCACGCAGAAGATCAAGTATATCGTTTTCAATAAAAATTTCAAAATTTCAAAATTTCAAAATTCCAATACAAAATGGGACGATAGTGCGGCGGGACTGTCAAAGGCCCAGCGGTATCCGGAATTGTCATTGGCCGGTTTATTGACGTCCTGGACGACTCCGAGCAAGACTCTAAGCGGCGCCGTTGTTTCGCTGTATTATCGAAACAAAACAAAAGGAGCAGAAACTGAGACGAGCCAATGATAAAGAAGACCAAAGGACTGCTTTCGTCCTTTCTCTGCAGATGATCTTCTTTCACACACCTCTTTGTTTGAAGACCAGAAACTGGCACACAATGAACAACGCCCTTTGACAGTTGTGAACAGCGGGCCATGTAAATAGGCACAACCTTATTTGTGTCGTTTGTTCACAGTGAAAATCATCTTTCTGCCCGCTTTTCTTCTTTTTTGTTATGTTCCACCAGACATGCAAACAAAGCATCTCCAACAAGAGAATATGAACAGAGCACAGTAGTCAAGGAGAAGTGTAGATGGACAGATAGGGAGGAGAAATAAAAAGAAGTCAACAACGTGAACATCTTGAAAGAGTCATGCACAGATTTATCTTGTATATAACAAACGTCCGTCTTGGTCGATTGGGTTTTCTTTTCGAGATCCTTCATACCACAACACTTTTCCAACTCATTCCAGGCTGTTTGATACTGCCTCGCCCACACTTTTCCCTGTTCCGTTTTTGAATTCAGTTTTCCGTTTGCAAAACCAAAAGACAAAAAAAAAAAAGACGTGCACCGAGACTTTATCTCGTTTGAGCTTCCCGACAGTTTTCAACACTTGTGAGGTGGCACACCGTCCTATCCTGTACTTCCCCCCTGCATCTTCGTAAATGTCATCCAAGATGCACACCTCGCAGACGGACAACAACAGCACCCAGCCCGCTTCCACGGCCACAGTCATGTCTTCGGGCCCGACCTGCGATCACAGCCAGAACCAGACCCTCTCCGTCAACCTCGACCCTCTATGGGCCGCCGTTTCGGACGAGGCCGCGACGCGGCACATCGTCGGCGATGACGACGGTGAGCATCTCATGGGCGCGCTGGTCGCTGCCTGTCGACAAGCCGCGCCCACGACGCCCATCGCCCCGCTCGCCTTCTCGTTCACGCGCACGCTGGCCAACGTCCCCTTCCGCTTTCTCCGTGTCGAGGTCGACGACCAAGGCCGCGCCAAGACGCCCATTACCAGCCTCAGCAGCTTCAACAGCCAGCTGGGCGAGCACGGCGCGCTGGCCAAGTACTTCCCGTTCACGTCTCTGGACGGCAATGCCGACGAAAACAGCCTCTGGTGGCATGCCAGCCACCCGCCGGCGTACAGCAAGGACTATCCCTTCTCAGTCGACAACTTTGACTGCGAGCAGCTCGTCGGGGACCTCGAGGACGACAACGACCTGCTGGACCGAGACGTGACGAACTGGGTGCTGTGGGCCGCCGTGACACAGACATCCACGGCCCCCGAGGCGCCCGCCTTCGCTTGCCGTGACCGCATCTTCTCCGTCGACCATCTCCTGCAGTTCCTCAACGATGTCCGCACCTCGCTCAACAACATCGATCCGGTGCCCACCATCTACTTCATCGTTGCCGTCTCGTACAAGGGCCGCTATCGCAACTCGGACGTCTCTGAGATGAACAACATGATGCTGGCGGTGCCGTTGCACACCACGCTCAGCTTCTTTACCAACCTGGTGAAGAAAAACGGTGCGGGGGCCAACCAGGCGCCTAGCTCCATCGGCGACGAGGACGAAGACGACGGCGAGTCCATCCATGACACAGCCAGCAGCGTCAGTGCGTTCGAGGCGGCCAATGGTGGTGGCGGTGGTGGTGGTGGTGCGGATGCCCCTGTGAGCAACTGGTCTTATAGCATAGATTCGTCCGAGGGCGGAGGCGTCACCTTCACCGGAAACCCTGTGCCCTTCCGCACCCGCGTCGACTCCAACGGCGACACCATCTTCCTCGGATACGAGTATGACCCCTTTTATGGTATGTCCAGAGTCCCGGCTCAGTCGGAGAACGTCGTCGTCGACGAAGAAGCCGTGCTAGCCACGTCCTCGTCCTCGTCGTCTTCGTCGGAGCGCGCCCCCACGCCGCCTCCCCCATCCATCCTCCAAACTCTCGACACCAACGCCTCAAAGGGTGACGCTGTCGAGGGCGACCTGCACGCCCTGCTCCCCGAGGCCCAGTCCCCCGAGCAGGCCGCCTGGGAGCAGTGTTGCCGGCTGCTGTGCATCGACCCGGAAGCGCACAAGGACGCACAGGCACGGTCTGTCAAGATTCCCGGCACCGACAACATGTGGGTCAAGCCCAGCCAGCTGTGGACGGCGTACTGGATGCTGACGAGCCGGATGGACCGGGGTCTCTGTGGCGGTGTTCTCGCCGATGTGATGGGCACCGGAAAGACGTACGTCTGCCTCGTGGTCTGTCTCCTGCGGGCGTACATTGGCTACAACCGCGCCGAGGTCGAGCGGGAGTGGCAGCTGCGAGAACACGAGGCCAAGAAGGGCGGTGCCAGCGGCGGCAATGTCGCGCCCAAGCAGCATCTGCCGCGCAACGAGGCCGGCAACGCAAGTGTGGCCTGCACCTGTGGCAACGCCATGGGCATCGAGTGCTACGCCAACCCAGGCGGCATCACGCGCCAGATCGCCGGCAGCCTCTCGCGTGGCGCGTCGCTGATTCTTGCGCCGCAGACGGTCCTCGACAACTGGGTCAAGACGGTCAAGCACGTCCGCCTGCAGCACAAGTTCTTTGAGCCGGTCGTTTTTCACAGCAAGATGTCCAACGAGGACGTCGCCATGGCGCCCGCGCCGCGTCTCAAGCAGAAGCTGCAGATGAGCGTCCGCCCGCAGGCACATGTTAGCAGCGACGGCCTTTTTTCGCATAGCTGGGAGCCCAATGTCCTGGACGTCGTCCACGATTACCAGCCTAGCATCGCCAAGGACGCCTACCCGGAGCGCTTCATCTTCCTAGCCACGCACATGCCTGAGAAGCTGACCGAGTTCTTCCAGCTGCCTGTGCCACTCCGCCGCAAGGCCGGTGCGGGCACGCGAGGGCGCAAGACCGTCTATGGCTGCCCCGTCGGCATCCAGCTTGTGGACGAGTTTCACAAGGCCAAAGACGATGTGATTGCGCTGGCCCTGCAGCACAAGCACCTTCAGAGCGGAGACGGCAGCGGCAATGGCGACAGCGCGACCGACAACTTTGACTTCTGGGCCATCACCGGTACGCCCCTGCCGGCCAAGCTCACAGACCTCGAGGCAGTCACCAACATTCTGCAGCGCCTTCCACAGTGGGATGAACCGGCCAGCCCTCACCACGGCAGCCGTGTTGTTGCTCTGCGCGAGCTGCAGGTGGCGTACGAAAAGGCGGTCGCGGAGGACGGCACTCCCGAACAGGCGGCGGACTTCCGCCGTCGTGCCGAGCGCTTCTTCCAGAGCGGCATCATCAAGCGCCACACGGAAAAGTCCATGTTCTTCGACCAGCGCATCTTCAACCTGCAGGACGTGACGGCGCAAGTCGTCGTCCACGCCACACCAGAGCCCCTGCGCGAGGACGTGGGCAAGGTAGTGGCCCGCGTCGCCGTCAAGATCCGGGAGTCGATGGCCGATGGTCCGTCGGCGGGCGTCAACACGGCCAACTGGGAGCAGGCCGTCCGGTCCAGCTCACTTTTCAACAACATGATGGACCTCGAGATCCTCGCCACGTTCCCCGGCGCCGCACCGCTCATGCTTGCCGATCCCCCCGTCCTTGACTTTGGCCTTGCCGCCATCCGCGCCGAGATCCGCAAGGCCAAGAACCACGACGTGACCAAGGTCGAGCTCTTCCAGACGCACCTCGACGCCATCATTCACGACAGCCCGCACTTGCAGTCCATCTTGGCGACTCTTGACGAGATGGAGACCGACCGCTCGAAACGCCGCGCGCTGCCGACACCTGTCGCCGCCGACGCCGCCAACAGGTCGGTCCTCTCCAAGAAGAAGGTCGACCTGTCCGTCAAGAAGCTCGTCGTCTTGTGCCCGCGCATGGGCGAGGCCGTCTTCGTGTTCCTGGCGCTGCGCAAGCTCCGCCCCGAGTTCAACCCCGTCTTTCTGCACGCCGACCTCAAGCTCTCGGAGCGCACGGCGCTGCTGCAGGACTTCAACCGCCTCGACGCGCCCACGCCCGCCGGTATTCACCACACAGCACGCGTCCTCGTGGGCACGTTCCGCGACGCCGGCACGGGCAACGATCTCACGGTCGCCAACTACCAGATCCTGACGGGCCCGCTGCGTCTGCGCAGCCAGCAAGACCAGGCCTTTGGGCGCACGAACCGCGAGGGCCAGACGCTGCCGCTGCACCACCGGCTGCTGGTGACCGAAGACAGCCCCGTGGACCGCATCGTCATGGTAACTCAGGCGCGTCGACACATTGCCAGCGACCCGTTCGCCATGGACGAGGAGCTGGAGCTGGCGGACGTCGATGAGGAGGAGCAGTAGGGCGTGGGTTTTATGTAGCCATCTTGTACTCTGTGTATTTTGATTCTGTTTGTTGCCCCTTTTTGCTTTTGGGGATGCTGTGGCGTGTTGCACTTGCCATAAAATAAGCAATAGACCAAGGCTCTTTCCCCAATTTGATTTTCGCAGGCTTTGGTGTTCCTCGTGCCTTCCAAATAAACATAGCATTTATTACGTCGTAAATAAAACAATCGCCCCTTCCTTAATATATTTTGTCGCTGAACAATGTCTCGATAGTACCTGCCACATTGCCCACTGTAAATCCACAGCGCGCCTCTGCTACTTCCTCTTACGACGTGCCTAGACCATTCCCGGCCCACTCCTGCCTGTTCACCGCCCGATCTCGCCCAGCACTCTCGGCATGTCCACCCATCGTGCCTTCCATCCTTTGAGGCTCCTTTCAGGCATTCCTCGGAATCCAACCCTATGCCCTCCGCTGTGAGACATTGAAAACCATGCTCCCGAGACGCCCTGTAGCTTAGACCATTGACCAATGACTGGCGAAACAAATGCAAACAAATGCGAGCTAGAGCTGTGAGCACTATATCACGAGAGCCTGTAGCCCGTCTCTTCCAGCTGGCCAGGCCCACGGTGCTTAGTCCGAGCAGACTAGCGGGCTTTAGTCACTTGTTCGCTCCTTCCGTTGCGAGCAAGGCCCAGATTTTGCCAGGGCCGAAGATAGCCACTACTCGAGCGAACTGGGTCCTTCCTGCCCTTTGTGATGAATGGTCTCGACGGCGACCGTTCCTAATTTCTATTTCCATTTTCCTTCATGTTTTGATCTTTGCCCTTTCACCTTCTTTTATCCCCTCTCCTTCATGTTCAAGCAACGTCTCCTGTACTCATCGCGACCGGCCGGACACCGCCCACCGTCGCACGAACCGATTTCTCGTACAATTTTCGCACGTTCCGTTTTCCCACCCTCTCCCCGCCTTGTCGCCCACCGGACCGTCCAATCCGTTTGCGAGCAGCACCCGCAGTCGATCAAAGAAAGCAACAGGACGTGAGCGGGCGCCTTCGCCATTGGCCGATGAGAAGAAGGTGCAGCCAGGAGGGAGGATAGACTTGACCAAGACGCGGCGGCCAGCAAAGAGCAAAGAGGCGCGGCAAGCTGCAGACAATCGCTTTCGGCAACCTTTGCCGAAAGAGCGAGAGCGAATCCACCTCGTCTCGGCTTGGATCCTGTCGTCCTCAAACAAATACACATAGCGGCATCCGGTCGACGACGAGCAGAGACGCTTTCCGATTCATTGCATTTTGTCAGCAACTAGGTCGCTTCGACAAAGACTCCCAAACCCCGACAAACGGAACATAACACTCCAACCATCCCAAAACGTAACCGTGCAGGGGTGCTGGAGCCATGGATCGGGCAACCAACGCGGGCAGTGGCACCCGCCAATCAAAGCGGTTGCAGCTTGTGCACAGCAGCTCGGGCAGCGACGACGGCAATGGGAGTGGCAGCGACAGCGAAATCGAAGGCGGCAGCGAATATGTCCAAAAACGACAGCCACCATCACCCACACCGCCGTCGCAACAGACACGGCAAGCGTCCGATCATCAAACACATCAGACGCGACACACACCGCAAAAGACGCAAAAATCACACGAACAGCAGCAGCAGCAGCAACCTCACAAGACCACATCTTCCGCTGGCGCGCCACACACCCGAGCCAAGGCACCGAAGCACGTCGTAGGCGGAGGCGGTAGCACTGCACGGTTACACCCTCGTGTGCCGTCCTCCAAAGCGCTGCACAAGACGGTGCACCATCACCATCACCACGCCGCCTCGACCAAACTGCAGCAGCAGCAGCAACAGCTTCAGCAGCTCCAGCAATTCCAACAATTTCAGGCACAGCTCCAACAGCAGCAGCAGGCCCATCATCGCCGCAGATCGTCCGCATCACCCCCGACGACACCCGCTGACTACGCCGCGCGATTTCCCTTTGCCGCCGCCCCACCTCCGATTGACCCGACCGCCCAGCACCAGCGGCCCCAGCCGCAGCGCCGTGCGACGGCAACAACTGAGAGCAACCTGAAACGGAGCGCTAACTCGGCGTCAACGTCCTCGCTGGTGCGTCGGAACCAGTCGGCGTCGAGCCTTCTCAAACGCAACCGCTCCCACGCCGACGTCGCGAAACGGACGAGCCACGGAGGCACGCGGTCAACTGCGAGCGCCACCATCAAGCGCACCAACTCGAACCCGGCTGTGAACAACAGCGGATTGCAGCCACTCTCATCCGCCGGCAAAAAAAAGTCCACGGTTGGCGCCGGCGGAGGCCAGGTGCACTTTGAGATTGGCAGCCCCGACGCCCAGGACCAGGAAGACGAGTGGGTCGATGCTGGTTCGTCCAACTTGAGCGGGTCGCGCAAGAACAGCTACAGACACGAGGATTCTCCAAAGTCGCACGAGAGTGCGAGCCAGGCAGCAAAGGACAAGTCCGAAGAAGAAGACGACAGTGAAAGCGAAGGTGGGAGCGAGAGCGAGCAGGAGGCAGAAGTCAATCCCACAAAACAGCAGCAGCAGCAACAACTCAAGCTGCCCATAAGATCTGCCAGTGGATCGCAACAACAGCAACAGCAGCAGCAGACGGCCAAGGACAACCAAGCCGAGGCGCACTCTTCCTCTTCGGCATCTTCGGTGGCATCGACTCATCTCCGAACCAGCTCGTCGACCACTCGTCTTCTTCTCCCCCGCACACCGCCCCGACGTGCGCCACCCCAGATGTCGACCGAGACCGTTTCGGCAATGCGTAACATGCCGTCGTCGTCTCCCGACTCGAGTCCCTCTAGGCGGCTGCACCACCGCCACCAGCAGAGCCTACCCGGCGGAAGCGGCGACCGTGACGCCATGACATCTCGATTCATCACGACAGGAAGTCACGAGGCAGCGGGTGGTACAACAGGCGGCGATTCCTACTACACCACGTCATCGTCCCGGCCCAGTACAGGACGGCAACTTGCCGACGACAGAAATAACGCCAGCTCCTCATCGGGCGCGCCATCCTCCTTAAATCCAGCCGCATCAAAATCGCACCCGCGCCGGACACGATCCATCGGTGGCGACGCAATGCAGCAGCAGAAGCAGCAGCTGACAGACGACGAGGACTATTCGAGCACCATCAGTGGAGGTGATGTGCGCAAGATGACGTCTGTAGCCTCGTCTACGGGCGGCCCAGCAGGCACGCATGCTCGACGGACACGCGCGCCCCATGCCCCTCCTGCCGAGCTCAGCCGCACCCAGCAAAAGCTCAACCTGGAGCGGGCCAGCTCCAACATTGATCGTGGTAGCCGCCAGCACGCTGTACCTGTTGCTGGCTCGCTTGTTGGCGCAGGCGAGTTTGGCATGCACGATCCGCGTATTGGCAAGCTGATGGAGAAGACTGGTATGGAGTACTACATGATCCGTCGCTACCAGAATCCCGTCACCCGCAGTCTCGGTCGTCTGACAGACCGCTTGGGCGGCGACAGAAACTGGCGCATCCCGGCTGCCAATGGTGGCATTACCCGTACCTCCACGGGCTTGTCAGAGGCCAACGGACCACCTGCTGCACCCGGTCACAGAGCCACCCACTCGGCTGCAGGCCTCAGCCAAAGCTTCCGGGAACGCGACATCCGGCGTGGCGTCCTCCAGTCGGCTGCCGCTGCCGCAGCAGCAGCTGGCTCTGGTGCGCACGGCCCAAGCGGCGGGGCGCCACGGCCAGGCAAACCGTATATTCTCAACGGCAATGGTGCCGGCAGCGGCAGTGGAAGCAGTGCTGCCGGCGACGCCGCCCTGCAACAACAGCGTCTCAGCGGAGCCAGCCTCGTAGAAGGCGGTGACGAGGACAGCACGGCCTCGATTCTGCGCAATCTGTGGGACAAGAATCTGTATCTCGGCACAAGCCAGGACTAGGAATCCGTCGACAACGAATGCACCTTTTTGTATGCCAAGCTAGGGAATGCTGCCTAGGCTTTTCGGACGAGCGGGCTTCATGTCTCATTTTGTCTCTTTTTTTTCGTGATCTTGTCATCACCTGTTCTATTTCATGGCCGCTGTTTTTGTTTTTCCCATCAACGAATTGTCATTTTTAATCTTAGAAGCTCATTTGCAGCTCTTTTTTTCTTCCCTTTTCTTTCGGCTTTACGTTGATTTCATACTCAGTTACTTCGAGCTCAATTAAGGCAGGCATAAGACAGTCTGCAAAGCAAAAGCAGACAAATGAACCTGCTTTCTTTGACATGTATAGCGATTGCGTTGTCGCTCTCGCGACTTAAACTACAACTGTTAGCCTCGTCAATGACGTAGCTCAATTGATATATTGATCGTACCTGCCTTTCTTTGCTGGGAAACAGCTTTTGCTGTTCCTGCTTCATTTTGTTTCTTTTCACGTCAGTTCGCACCTGCCACTGTGAGTGCACATGCTTGATTCGGCCGCACCTGCCCTTCCCATCCATGCCCGTGCATGAAACGTAACCCCTCAAACCAGGAAGGAAGTCGCCAACACTTGCCGATTCTCCTTTTTACGACCGTTCTATTTTCTCCTCATTTCTAAACGATGCCCTTTTGCGTCTTCCAACATAAGCCCTCAATCTCCATCGCCTTTTTCTGATCGAGAAGACTTCCATCCGTCAGCCCACCATGGTCTCCGCCGCCCTTCTTGGGCTCACGAACTACAACAGCCCGCTGCTTCGCAATGCCGTCCCCTGCGCTCTGGCCTCCCTTTTGGTGCAATACGCTGTCGGCCTGCCGTCCACCTTTCTAGTCAACCCGCCCTCGGAACGCTTCTACGATCTGACCGGCGCGCTCACCAACGTCGCCGTCGTTGTCTTGAGCCTCTACCTTCCGCGGTGGCGCGCCGAGGCCCAGCTGGTGACGGCGAGCCCCGGCGCTGCCCTCACTCTCGAGCCACCGCACTGGCGACAGGCCGCACTCTCTGGCGCCGTCGCCCTCTGGGCCGTCCGACGTACGTCTCTTTGTTAATGTCGGTGCGCTCGCAACGCTTGTTCCCTGGACCGGTTTTGCTTACAACACAGTCGGTACCTACCTCTTCCGCCGCATCCTGCGCGAGGGCAAAGACTCTCGCTTTGATGCCATGCGCACAAAGCCCGCCAAGCTCCTCTTTGCCTGGACGGCCCAGGCGTTGTGGATTGTACTCTGCCAGTCGCCCGTCACAGCCGTCAATGCCGTGGGAGCGCCCGTGGTGGCGGCGTCGGCAGCCGGACCAGCACATTCGTCGTCGGTCCTGCCAAACAACGTCCTTTGGTCCGACATGGCCGGGTTCGGTTTGTTTGCCTTCGGCCTCGTCTTTGAATCTATCACCGACTATCAAAAGTCCAGCTGGGCCGCGGCGAAGCACGCCAAACAGCACGACGAAGTGTTCATGGGCCGCGGTCTGTTCTCCGTGAGGTGAGTACGTGTTTTCCGACGGACGATCGCTGGCATCCGAAACTCACTATGAAACTCTTTCTCGACAGCCGGTATCCTCATTATTTCGGCGAGACGACGCTGTGGACGGGCCTGGCCGTGGCGGCTGCCGGCGTGCTCACGCGCGCGCCTGTTTGCGTGGCTCTCGGCGACATTGGTGTGGCCACCGCGCTCTCTGTTGCGGCCATCAGCCCGGCCTTCACGGCGTTTGTGCTGCTCAAGCTGAGCGGCGTGCCGTTGAGTGAGCCCAAGTACGACAGGAAGTACGGCAAGCGTGCCGACTACCAAAAGTGGAAGCGGGACACGCCCAAATTCTTCCCGAAACTGTTTTGAAGGCGTACAATATTTATTTCTTGGTGGATGTGGCCTGCTGCATATTGTCGTATGGCGCAGATTTACATTTCGTTTACTTATTTACTTGTGTTGGTGGGGTTGGTCAAGGTCTATTCGATTAAGCAAAACGTTGTACAAAATCAAAACGAAACGTGTCGCGTGTCCCGACAAAATTTTTTATTTTGCTCGTTGCTGTCATTAAACGCAGCGTGGTGGAAATAGCCTCCTTTTGGGTTCGTGCCAACAACAGTTATCCATTTAAGCCGCCTCCTCGTCCGTGACCAGCTTGATAATCTTGCCAATGGCAATGGTTTGACCCTGGACTGGTTAGCTGTGGTTCGCAGTGGTTCGCAATATCTATTGAGACACTGATATGGGGCATGACATACCTGGTCACGGAGCGTGAACCGACCCATCTGCGGGTAGTCTTCGAAGCGCTCCACGCACACGGAGCCGGCGCCGCCCGTCACCGTCAGACGGGCAATGATGCTGTCGCCCCGAATCGCGTGCGACGGCGGCAGCTTGCTCTTGCGGCCTGTGCCCTTTTGCAGCTTGTGCAGCAGCGCCGAGAACGTCACCTCCTCGATCGCCGAGTGCACGTGCAGCACACAGTTGTAGCCGGCCGTCAGAATCGACTTGAGCTCCAGAATGCGCACCTGCGCCTCAAAGGTCTTGACGTTGTGCACCAGCCGCTTGGGTGAGCACAGAACAAAGCCCGGCAGAATGTCCTCCTCCTCGATGCCGCGCAGCCGCAGGCGGACCTGGTCGCCGCACTGCGCAATCGACATCTCGTCCTCGGTCTCGCCGTAGACGGCCGTGATGTCCACCTGGTTCTTGTTGGGCATCATGGTCAGGGTCATGCCCTTCTTGACTACACCGGCCTCGATCTTGCCCTCAATCACGGTACCCATGTCGCGGTACTTGGCACTGATGGCCATCATGAAGGGCGCGTTGACCTTGCGCTCGAGCGTCTTCATGTCGTCCAGGTACTCCAGCAGAGAGGGCCCGTCGTACCACGGCGCGACGCCGGCGGGGATGCGGTCCTTGATGTTGGTCGTCTGCTGCGCGGCGATGGGCATGAAGAACACGTCCGTCTTCAGGTTGTAGCCCGTGCCCTTGAGGAACTGCGACAGCTTGGTCGTGCACTCCTTGTAGCGCTCGTGCGACCACTCGACCGTGGGGTCGTCCATCTTGTTGATGACCACAATCAGCTTGTTGACACCCTGCGTCTTGGCCAGCATGGCGTGCTCGCGCGTCTGGCCGCCCTTCTCGAAGCCCGTCTCGTACTCGCCCTTGCGCGCCGAGATGACGAGGATACCGACGTCCGCCTGGGACGCGCCGCCGATCATGTTGGGCACGTACGTCTTGTGGCCGGGCGCGTCCAGGATGCTGTAGCGGCGCTTCTCCGTCTCGAAGAAACCGCGACCCACCTCGACCGTCTTTCCCTTGGACCGCTCCTCGTTGGTCAGATCCAAGGCCCAGGACAGGTACCACGTCTCACGGCCCATGTCCTTGGCCTCGCGCTTGTACTTGTCCATCGTGCGCTGGTCGACCATGCCGGTGGCGTACAGGATCGAGCCGCCCAGCGTCGACTTGCCAGCATCAACGTGGCCGATGAAGATGATGTTGACGTGCTCCTTTCCGTAGATCTCCTTGAGGGTGTCCTCGTCGACGTCAGCAGCCTGCTCCTTTTGCACGGCATCGACATCGCGCGTGGCCTTGGCGCCCGCGGGCGCCCGTGACGGGCTCGAGCGGCCGGACGACGGCGTCGGCGACGTGGTGCCGCTGGCCGAGCTCTGTGTCGTTGTGCCGGTCTTCTCTATGGCCTTGGCGGCAGTCGTCTTGGCACCAGCCTCCGCAGCCGCGGCGCCCGTGCCAGCAGAAGCGCCAGCCACAGCGGCCGCGGCCACATCCTCCTTCTTTGGGGCCTCGTCCTTGTTCAGTTCCTCCTTGGATTCCTCGTTCTTGGCCTCTTCCTTCTTCTCCTCCTTGGGCGCAGCCGGGACACCGATGCTCAGGACCTTGGCGACCTTGGGCTTCGCATCGCCACCAATGCTCAGAACCTTGGCGCCGATGGGCTCGGAGGCATTCGGCAGAGACACCACAGGTGCCGCTGCCGCAGCCCCAGCAGCACCAGGTGCCGACGATACGCCTGCCGGGGCAGCAGCGTCGGTCGGTCGCTTCGCAATCGTTGGGGCACCGCGGTTGTTGTTGCTGTTGCTGTTGCTGTTGTTGTTGTTGTTGTTGTTGAATTGGGCACCACCGCGACCCTGCTGGTAGCCGCCGCGCTGGTATTGGCCTGCCAAACAGTTGTTAGTATCGAATCTCAGTGGTTCGCAGCATAGTCTAGAAAATATCTTTTTTTGTTTTGCCTTCGCTCGTCTTCGTTGCACATACCGTAGCCTTGCTGCTGCTGGTTGTTGTATCCCTGGTTGCCGTAGACGGCAGAGTAACCCTGGTTGGCGTACTGGTCGTAGTTTTGCTGCTGGCCCTGATTGCCATACTGCTGGTAGCCACCGTATCCCTGGCCGTAGTACTGCTGCTGCTGGTACTGGGGAACAAAGTTGTTACCGTACGGTTGGCCCGGATTGAACGACTGAGCGCCGGGCTGGAAGCTCGCGGCGCCGGGTTGGAAACCGCCACGGCCGCCGCGCCCGCCCCCACCGCCCCCACGGCCACCACCACCCAGGTTCATCTGCTGTTGTGTCTGGCGCGCCAGGTTGTCGTCCTGGGCCGACGGGTCGTCTTCCCACGAGTTGAGGTGCGACATGTTGATATGAGGTTCGGCGAGAGAGGATTTGTTGTGTTTCTGAGATGGTGATCAGTTGAAACGGGGGCCGGCCGCGAAGCAAGCGGCCTTGCTGGTTTATATAGCGAGATGCCGCGTGGCGCAGCAAAACTGTCAGGTCTCAATAGGGTCGTCGAAGTGTGACAGTGCGGCACAAATTAAAATACTTCGGGCCTGAAATGTCAGGAGACTCGTTGATGCCCGGTGACTCAACGGTGCAGTTTTCGAACAGCAGGAGGAAGACAGGAACTCGTCTGGTAGATGCAGAAATCGATCTACCCTGTCGTGTCGAAACGATCAAGAGAACGGATGTGGTTGGTGGTTGAGAAACAGGTTGTCCTGGCCGTTCTAGGATGCAGGAGAAAAAGAGACAATGGCTTCGATTTGGCCGTTGGCTCCATTTCCCTCTCAGTGCTTAATTTTTTTCAATATTATTTTTTCAGTCCCTTCCTGCTTTTTGGGCCTTTTGCCCCGCCATGGCTCTTTCCCGCGCGGCGTTAGTGCACTCGAAACATGGACAGACTGGGAAGGAGGAACCTGGTCCTAAATGCGGGCAGAAGTTTTATCACGTGAGGTATATTGAGATTTTGGTGCACAGTGCGCTCCCATGATACGTCATTATTTGCGTTGGCAGCGCTAGTGGCACAGTAGTGGGGCAGCTTTGTCAGGCTCAGTTTCACTCTTGAGGAGGGGCAGGCCACTGCTTCGTCCGTCTGTCATCCAAAATCCGCACGGTGTAGGTACTTGCCTATTTTGCATTTCACTTACACGAGCCAATGTGAGAAGCAACGATGGGTGCCATTCCTGCCTGTTTGGGCAAGAAAACAATACGCCTTTCTGAATATAAAATTTTCTTTCTTAAAAAAAAATTGGTTTCTTTTGGTTCTTCTTCTGTTTTTTTTTTTCAAAGACGCACTCTCCTGAATCTTCCCTTGTATTCTATCAGTCTTCTTACAGCATGGCTACCAAGACGCAATGGACGAACTCCTCGATCGACTCGGCGTCCAGGCTGTCAACTACGCGATGCGATGCGGCATTGCTCTCACGTCGACATTTGCAATGAAACAATGTTCTCGATTATTGAGAACTGTCGACGACAAGCCGCAGCACAAAGAGCTTGAGGCCCTCCAGAAAGAGCTCGACAGCAAGATCAAGGTAAGAACCGCGAGAACCGCGTTCGCGAGGCACCGACATGTCGATTTCTAACAGACTGGTAGATTGTCTCTCCGGCTTTGGATCTCATTGAGTTCAAGTATGCTTCTTACCCAATACTCTCATTGTTCAACTGCTGTCACTTCTTTTAAACTGACTCACCTCGCAGATCCGGTCGCGGCAATGTGTTCCTAGGCAATGCAGCTGCACTGGCCAAAGCGCTGCATCGAGACATTGTCGCCTTGGGGAATCGTGTCGCGAAAGCTGCCGCTACTGAAGAGCATGTTCAAGAACAGAGTTATTTTCTCTCACAGAATACGGAAGAACGCAACGTCGAGCTCCTTGCGATCATCCGCGACATCAAGAATCTTCTTGTCCACATCGACAGCGACGTCCCCCTCTTGCAGCTCGCCATCACAGCCTCTGGAGAGAGCCTCTCGGCATCGCTTCCTCCGAGCATATCCCCGTCTCGACTTTTGCAGGCGAGCATGTGTCTTGTGATTGGAGACACACAGTTTTCCGGTGACCCCTGCCGTGCTGTGCAAATTGGGCCGTCGTTTACACTGTCACTTTACATGCTCTTTCTCGGCCACTCCACAGTAGGGAACGTTCCCAGCACTGCGAGACATGAAGCAACAGACGACGATCCCCCAAGAGACGACCAGAAAAACAGTCCATACGGCATTGGCCCCGGTGAGCGGAAGCCTATCTGGCAGGAAGTCCTGCATAAAGCGCGCGTCCGCATCTGCCGGACGCCACCTGGTGTGGGGTTCCACCACAAACTAGGTTTTGTTCCCGCGGCAAACGAGACCGCGCAGGATTTACTGAATACTGGCAATACAATTTGTGGCAAGGCTTCTCTGGCTGGAGAGACAGATAAAGAAGACGAGTATTCGTACTTCCTGGAGATCATCGAAGACCTCGACGACGGCCGCGCACACGACGACAACCGGACCGGTGCAGCGTACGATGGTGTACCGATGGCTGGCGAGAAAGAGGCCATCTCCATACGTCAAATCTCGAAGCTGTTTTACACGGACTCAGGGCGGATCCTCAACATTGGCAACCAAAACAATTTCGAAAACTCGTCTGTCCTGTTGCTCAAACGTGACCTGACGGCCTCTTCACCATCGAATGCAATTGCGAATACACAGCCAGAGAAAGAGTCTGGGGACGAGGGAAAGCCAGACGATGAAGACGAACAAAGGGACGTCGACCGCCAAATACGGGAGGAAAGCAAACGTGACGCTGGGAAGCTTGCGGCTCACGCTGACAACCACCAAAACCATGGTCGCCAAATGTTCCCGAGCTACTTGGACCCCGAGTGGCTTGCACTAGAGGTCTTTGTTGAAGATGAGAATGACCAACGAGAGACGGACACAGACGACAGCGACGCAGACGATGAACACGATGACGAGAGTGGCAGTGACAACAGCAATCATGAAGATAACGCAGTCATCGCTCGCCCCACAAGCAGGAAGCGCAAATCCGTCGATACGCATTTGGCACAGCAATTGCACAACATGTCTGTCTCGAGAACGGCAGAGGCCGTGCATCAGCAGTGCACATATGGCGAAGGGGCCTACAGAAACAACAATGCCCCTGCATCAGAGACCGTCCCCCCACGTGTTCCTCAGTCTCCGTATGGTTCCGTCACCTCCTCGTTGTCTCTCCTAGAGATGCTGATCCGCCTCGCAAGTCTCCAGCAGTTCCAGCAGACATCGCATCTCGCCATTCCCGACCATATCCTCACCTTCTTCCTCGAGGAGACGTCGGCGACGGGGCTGCGAGGCGAGGCGCGGTTGCAGGCAAAACAGGCTGCCGAGCAGAGGATGGGATTCGACCCTTTCACAGACTCGCCGACAAAGGAGTAAAGGCCCAGAACTCAACGAAATGAGATGTTGTCGGAGGAAGAACGCGTTGGGCTGTAGTTATTGCGATGTCGCGAAATTGGGCTGCACGGATCCAAGGCCGCGATAAAACGGTACTCCAACTCTACATGGCGTCTGGAGACAAGAGTCGAGCAAGGCGCGAATGTACACAATACCGTAACCGGCGCTACTGCCATGCCAGATGAGCAGGGGCACGGCATGAGGCAGACGGCAGCCTGGGAGGAATCGGTGGAAATTGAGCAGTCGTGTTGACTGAACATTTATGCAGCGGTGAGGAAAGCTATGTACTGCCGTTAGACTTTTACTAAGACTAATTTCCTATCTGCACAAATGGAACCCTGCCTGAAGTAAACAACGGCCGCCCAGGTAGCAGGTACTTGCCGTCAGCGCACAGTGTTCCTTATCTTATCACCTGTGGCGTTGCTCAGCAGCCACCTGTTTATGACACCAACGCCAGCCAATCACAATGCGTGACGCAAGAAGCGCCTGCCAACCCTGCCGCCACGCCTTAGCGGGAAGGCGCAAACGCCAAACAAGCGTCTCGTTCAGTGGCCACTTGCCTCCAAAGGAAAACCACTTTACACGACGACTTGCTTTCTGAGACGAGGCATCCAAACATCCCTCCCACCCTCACCACACTCCAAGAGACACATCACGACCATCCTGCATGTCCTCCGCCTCGGGCATCCGTTTCTTCTGCTGCTACCTGTGACGTCCACAGGTCAATGCGGTGAGTTGTTGCGCACTGTGCTCACTGTCGAACCGCTGTTGGTCCTTTATCCTCTCCTTTTGTTATTTTTTGTTGTCTGTCATATTGCTTCATATTTGGGGCGGCCACTCGCGCTCGATTCCCCTTTTGGTTTGTTGTGAGAAGTGTCTTTCTGACTTGTCGATTTGTCTATAAATTAGGACCAAGCCCGGTGCTGGTTTTGGTTTCCAGCCCAAGGACACGCTCGCTGCAACCGACTCTCCCTCTTTCCACAAGCACAAGAAACAGTTCAGCAAGCCTACGTCTCCCCGCAACCCTTCTTCACAGGCGTTGCAAAAGGCATCTCCTTCTGTCAAGAGCCGAGACGAGCTCGCCCAGAGCTTCTGCAACCTCATCCGGTCCACGACCGCCGTCCGTCCTCCTCCTACATCTACCATGTCTCGCTCGCGAAGCGCTTCCTTCTCAGACGATGATCTGATGATTGTCAGCTCGCAAGCCATGAGCTCGCAGGGCTATGGGTCGCAGGGCTATGGCTCGCAGGACTATCCTTCCCAAGAGCTGGGCGGCGATCTGATGTCGTCGCCTCTGCAGCCCATCCGGGCACCGAACGATGTTATCGACATCACGAGCAGCCCTGTGGCGCCGGCGCTGTCGCCGAGCAAGGCAAGCAACTCTACTGCGCAGACAACACGGCAGCCAGTGTTTGGCCGACCGACACAGATGTCAACGCCGACCTCGTCTTCCTCCAAGCCGATCATGTCATCGTCGGCGGCTGCCGCTGCAGCTCTGGTCCAGCGCCGCCAGAACGCGCTCTTCAACGCCAACCAGAAGCGCCCAGAACACCACCGACCGCATCGTCTTACTGGGCCGCTGGCACCGAAGCAGCCGGACCGCAAGGCTGCGCCACGGCCCGTGTTCAGCTCCATGGCCTCGACCCAGGACAATGGTGGCACGTCCTACCCTGTCAGCTCCTTTTACAACAATACCGCTACGAACAAGACAATTGTCAAACAGAGCATACCGGCATCGATGCATGCCGATGTGGATTTTTATACTGACCCTGACAAGGCCACGGCCGACCTGAAAGCCCTCCTCGAGGGTGGCATGGAGGACGACGAGGACGACGAGGAAGAGGTGCCGGCGGCCGCTGCGCCGCCGGAAGAAATTGCCAAAATCACAGCGATAACGGCGGCGCCGGAAAAGGCAAAGGAGGCGCCCGAGAAAAAAAAGGACAAGCAGGAGCCCGAAGGGTACGATGACGGCACAGTGGACGGCATCAAGGTGAAGCTGCTTCCGCACCAAGTGGAAGGCGTCAAGTGGATGCGCGGCCGAGAGCTGGGCCCCGTCAAGCGTGGTCGCGTGCCCAAGGGCGGTATTTTGGCCGATGACATGGGTCTCGGCAAGACACTGCAGGCCATTTCGCTGATATTGACGAATCCCAAGCCTACAAAGGACATGCCGGGCTGGAAGAAGCACTACGAGAAAATTACCGGCGGCACACTGGTCGTCGCGCCGCTTGCTCTGATCCGGCAATGGGAGGCCGAGATCAAAGAGAAGGTGTCCCGCGACCCGCCGTTGAGGGTCTGTGTGCATCACGGACCCCAAAGAACGGTCCGTCCTCAAGACCTGGCCAAATTCGATGTTGTCATCACAACGTATCAGATTCTGGTCTCTGAGCACGGCCACAGCAGCAGCGCCCTCCAGAGCGGCTGCTTCGGTCTCCACTGGTACCGTATCATCCTCGACGAAGCGCACAGCATCAAGAATCGCAACGCCAAGATGACCAAGGCCTGCTGTGCCATGCCGGCCGAGTTTCGCTGGTGCTTGACGGGCACGCCCATGCAAAACAACCTCGACGAGCTGCAGAGCCTGGTCAACTTCCTTCGCATCACACCCTACGACAACCTCACCGAGTGGCGCAATCACATTGATGTGCCTCTCAAAAACGGCCGCGGCTATCTTGCCATCCGGCGCCTGCACAGTCTCCTTCGGTGCTTTATGAAGCGGCGCACAAAGGACATCCTCAAGGAGGAGGGTGCCTTGGTGCCCGGCGGCAAGAAGGCCATCGATGCCGCTGCTGCTGCTGCTGCTGCTGCTGCTGCTGCAGAAGAAAAGGTTCTCAAGAATGGCACACAGACACCTGGTACAAGTGACACGTCAACGTCCACCCCGGGTGCTGCCAAAGTTCCCGCCACCCCCAGCTTCAAGATCACGGAGCGCAATGTGGTCAGCGTCTTGGCCGAATTCTCGCCGTCGGAGCGCGCCTTTTACGATCGGCTGGAGGAGCGCGCGGACAAGAGTCTTGAGAAAATGATGCAGGGCAAGTCCATGAGCTACGCGAACGCTCTCGTCCTGCTACTCCGCCTGCGGCAGGCATGCAACCACCCTGACCTGCTCACATTCAAGTTGGAGAAGGACAAGGATGCCATGTCCACCGACTCCATGCCTGCGTCACAAAAGTCTGCTACTACCGACAGCGACATCGATGCGCTCGCCGATGTTTTTGGCGGCCTCGGCATCCAAGCAAAGAAGTGCGAGGTGTGCATGACGGACCTGACCAAGGACGAGCAGCGGGACTGCGAAGCGGCTGGCGACGGCATGGTGTGCGCAAAATGCATTGAGGACCGCGACATTATTTCTGGCAAACCGAGAACGAAGAAGGAGAAGAAAGACAGGAAGTCGAAGAAGCATCGCAAAGACAAGAAGAGCAACAAGGACAAGAGCCAAAGGCACAAGGCGAAGATAGAGGTGGCAACTGCTGCCGACGTCGACGATGACAACAGCATTCTTCCCGCGTCACGGAAAGCAGCCCCACGGAAGCCGCGAAACCGCCGTGCCATTGTCGACAGCGACGACGAAGAGGAGGAGGACGGCAGCTGGCTTGTGGGAGAAGAAGAACGCGGGGCCCTGCGTCTGGGCAAGGCCGGGGGCGAGGAGGACGAGAACGCCGAGGGCGGCGGCGACTGGATCAACAGCGACGACTCCATCCACGAGTCGGAAGACGAGGACAAGGATGCAAGCCGTATGGGCAGCTTCATCGAAGACGACGAAATGGAAGACGACACAGCTGCCAGCAAGGGCCAAAAGAAACACGCCAAAAAGAAGATCCTCCGCGTCGGCGGCCAGGACTGGGACAGCGACGAAAGCGACGAAGACTTTGAGTCGTTTGCGCAGTCCGCCGGCAGTGATACCGAGTCGGTGGACGAATCGGGTGACGAATCGGGTGATGACTTGGGAGATGGCTCAGAGTCGGAGTCTGGTTCTGATGAATCGCTGGGCGGCGAAAACGAGGAAGACTCGTTCATCTCCACGTCGGAGCTGCTGTCCAATGTCGATGACGAGTCGCTTCTTGGAAGACGGCCGGCGCCTTCACGCAAGACAAAATCCGGCCTCGGCTCTTCGTCCCATTCCGACACAGTGCTTATCTCGGCCAAGATCCGCAAGATGCTGTCGATTCTCAAGAAGGAGGCGGGCGAACACAAGTTTATCGTCTTCTCGCAATTCACGTCCATGCTCAGCCTCGTGAGCCCCTTCTTGGTGCGCGCCGGCCTCGGCCACGTCCGCTACGAGGGCAGCATGCGCAACGACGCCCGCGAGGCCAGCCTCAACAGTCTGCGCCACGACCCCAACGTGCGCGTCCTCCTCTGCAGTCTCAAGTGCGGCGCCCTCGGCCTCAACCTGACGGCCGCCACGCGCGTCATCATCCTCGAGCCGTTCTGGAACCCCTTTGTCGAGGAACAGGCCATTGACCGCGTGCACCGTTTGACACAGACCGTCGACGTCACCGTCTACAAGCTGACCGTCGAAAACACGGTCGAGGAGCGCATCTTGGCCCTGCAGGACAAGAAGCGGCTGCTGGCGGCCCAGGCGCTCGAGGCTGGCACGGTGGGTGGCAAGGGCAAGAAGGATGCCCTCAAGCTGGGCCTCAAAGAGCTCATGGACCTCTTCAAGCACGATTCTCGCGGTCCGCCCGGCATGTCCAATGGCGGCCACGATGGCGGCCCGGGCAGTGTAGAAGCCGCTTTCGTCGACCAGTTTGCGGCCATGGGTTCGGGTCTGCTACGGCGCCGCGAGGGTGGCAACGGCGGGTCTAGAGCTGGCGGCGGGGCGTCACAAGACTCGGCATACAGCCGGCGGTGGTAGACGGGAGACTGCCGAAGACGGTGTAATGAGAGAGGGTTTTTGCATTTTGCAATTTATTTGCGACTTATTTTACGACTAGTTTCGTACATTTTGGTCATTATTACTCGCTATATGATTCTAGACATAAACCCAGCGGTAGTTGTATCACGAATTCACATCCATGTCCATTGGTATTAAATTCCTACACATTTCCGACTCGTCGCTAGAAAACCCGCCGCCGCCGTTATAGAGAGGGAGCATTACAACGCAGAAAATCAAAAGCATCACAATGAGAAATAAATACATGAAAACAAAAATCAAGTGCATGCATGGGTTGGTAGGTTGGTAGGTTGGTAGATACAGGGTGGGCACGAAAGCAAAAAGAAGATGAAATCACGAAACAGCACCAAATGGAATGCCACACTCCCATTCCAGCCCTCCCCTGCAACCCTCTTTCATTTGACTGACTTAGTAACCTACCCGACCCGTCTGCCGGTAGTAATCGTCCACGGGCGGACTGCTACCACCCTGGTGCGCGACAGAGGCGTCTGTAGGGGGCACATACGGCCGGTACTGCTGCTGCTCGGGCGGCGGCGAGCCGGGCCCGGCACCTGGCGCGGACGGCCCACTGGTGCTCAGGCGGCTCGGCAGGCTCTGGCGGGAGTCGTAGTGCCCACCACCGCCACCACCAGGAGCGGGCGGCGGAGACGCGGTGGGCGGCGCGGGTGCCGGAGTCGAGGACTGGGGCGGTGCGGGTGCAGAAGACGGGTAGCTGTTGTAGGCCTGATACGAAGGGTTGGGAGGCGCCGACGTGTTGCTGTTCGTTTCAGTCGGTGGGGGTCCGGTAGGAAGACCAACGACAGACGGCGGCCCATACTGGTCCGGCGAGTAGACAGACGAAGAGTACGTGTGGGCAGAAGTGGGCTGGGTAGGTTGGATGGGGGGCATGTTAACGGCATTGGGGTTGTGCGCGGCAATGGGCGAGTCGTAGGCCGATGTGGAAAGCTCCTGTGGGTTGCCGTACGTGCTGTGCGGGCCATTGCCGCCACCGGGCCCCGAGACAGAGCCACCCTGCTGCTGTTGCGGCTGCGGCTGATGCTGTGGTTGCTGTTGTTGCTGCTGTTGCTGGTTGGGGTTGTAGGGAAGGTAGGTGTTGTCGGCGGCCGGACGCTGGGCAGGGGCAATGTTCGTCTGGAGCGGGGAGGGCTGCTTGAGCGGCTCACCGCTGAGACCACTGCCGGACGGGATGCGCTGGCCCTGCTGGTGGCCCTGGGGCGGGTATGGCACTTGCTGCTGATGCTGGGGAGGCGGTTGTTGTTGCTGATGTTGTTGCTGCTGCTGTTGCTGCTGTTGCTGCGGCGGCGGCTGCTGCGGTTGCGCTGGCGGGATCTCGGCATTGGCTAGGTAAAAGGCAGACGGTGCACCGGCGTTCGGACGATGTGTGTTCGGCGAAGGCGACTGGGGATACTGCTGCTGTTGCTGGTCTATATTCAGTTAGTATATAAATTTACAACGAAGCAACGGAGAAAAAGATCCATGGGCGCAGTGTGAACGTGCACAGTTGCTGGCATAAAATGCATGGGCGGGTGCATGGGTATAAAAGATCATTATAAGAGGTAGACCGAAGAAAAGACCTGTAAATAGTTGGGCATGCCTTTTCTCCTGCTGTCTCGCCCTCCAAGAGTGCAAATTATGCTGCCTTTGTACAGTGTCCTGGCCACTTTGATGCACGCTTTGTTTTCTAGTATAAAGACTGACCCTGACGTTGTGGCCCGGGAGTGTAGTATCTCTGGTCTGGTGGCGGCTGCTGCGGCTGCGACTGCTGCTGCTGCAGTTGCAGTTGCTGCTGTGGTGGCGGCTGCTGGCCCACGCCTGGCGCCGCATAGCCTGCATGGGGTGCGATATGGGACGTGCCAGAGCCGGCGGGGCCGCCTGGGCCGATGGGGTAGCCCTGGGGACTGGCGTGCTGGTGCATGGCGTATTGCTGGTAGTTGGGCTGGGGCGGGTGGGACATGGACGATTCGAGCAGGGCCTCGTAATCGCGGCGGGCCTTGATGAACTTTTCGTTGAGCTGGGTGAAGTCGTCTGGTGTTGTCAGTGTCAGCATAAACGGATAAATGGCATACAGCGCAAAGGGCCAAACATTGGCTATGTAGCTGCATACGCACCCTTCTTCTGTGAGTATTTCTCGATAAGCTTAATCAGCTTCGGCCGAATGGCGAGGGTCTGGTGATAGAGTTTCTGTAGTGTGTCAGTACGAAGCGGCTTTCGATGGGTGAGAAGGGAAAGTAAAAGCGTAGAAGGTGGGGAGGGGGGGAAGGCTCCTACTGAAATCTCGTCCGTGTCCTCCTCCCGCGGCGCGGTATTGGAGACGCTCAGCAGGGTCAGCAGCTTCTCGACGTTCTTAATCTCGGCAAACACCTCGGCCTCCATCTGGGCCTCGCGCTGCAGCTCGTCGGGTGTCGGGTCGGCCAGGATTTCGACGTAGTTGAGTGGGAAAATGCCGGTGCGGCCCTTGAGCGAGCCACGCCACCAGTCGCGGTAGACGGACTCGAGCACGGCGATAACATCGCCCTTCTTGAAGTCGAGCTCGTCCTGTTCTGACGCGGCGAAATCAAAGAGTGCACGCACGCGGGACACGGTCGCCGCCGTCGTGCCTTGCGTGGGAGCGGCTGCGGCTGCCGGCCCTCCAGAGCCGCCCGCAGTAGCTCCGCCGTAGGCCGAGGGGCCAGCAGCGCCCGACGGACCCGCACCAGCTGCTCCACCAGCCCCGCTGCCACCGGGGGCGGCCTGTTTCTTGCTCGCCTCGTCCTCGAGCGACAGCTTGAGGGCCCGCTGCAGGTCCTCCTCTTCGCGCTGGCGATCCTGCTCGGTCAGGCTGTTCTTCTGGGGCGCGGAGGGCGGAGGTTGCAGCTGGGGCTGGGCGTGCTGCAGGCGGCTGTAGGCGTCCTGCATGATGCCGAGGTCGGTGTTGCTGCGGAACATGTCGGACCACTCCTTCATACGCTCCAAGATCTTGAGGCGGACGAGGTTGTGGGTATTGCGGTCGTTGGCGAGCTTGAGCAGGGCGTCGGTAAAGGCGCGCGAGGCGAGTTCGCGGTGCAGGGGCGTCCCGCAGTTCTGGCTCAGCGCGTTGGCGAGCTCGAGCGTGTAGAGCTGGACGTTGGCGTTGCGGTGGGCGAGGCGCTTGATGAGGCTCTGGACGGCCTCTTTGGGGCCGTTGACGGGGTCGCTCGAGACACGGTCACACACTTCGAGGATGGCGGACCAGTCCTCGGAGGTGGCGTTTTCGTCGGTGGCCTTGCCTGTGGGGGGTGGGAGAAACAGCTGTGTTAGACCAGAGGAACGACACATGGCAAACGACGAAGACAGACGACAGACGACATACCGACGGCCTCGTCAAAGGGGCCGGGAGCGGCTGCGCGAAACATGGCGGCGGACACGCAGAAGAGACCAGCCGGGTGTGGTGCTTTGGGCGGGCAGGCGGAATGGAAAGCAAAGACGATAAAGACGGTGCGGTTGGTGTCCGAAATCAGGACGGGTCGCGGCCTGAAAGAGAGAAGGATACCACAGAAAACGAGGTCGATGTGAGCTTGGCGAAAAAGAGTCGGCTGCCAATCAGGCAGCAGAGCTTCGCTTCAGATGCGATGACGATGGTTTGGGGGCTGTAGCTTGCAAATGGAGGGTTGTCACGAACGGCGGCGGGTCCCGTTTGAAAAGCGCGCGATCACGACAGAGTGAAGGCTGATAAAGACGTCTGGCAAGCTGTCAAAAAGAAAGAAGACAAATGATTGCTTTGGGAGAGTTTGGGTGAAGCTGCTTCGACGAATGCTGTCAGGAGGGGAGGGGGTAAAAGGGAAGGTCGGGGGCAGGAGGTGGAGTTGCAGCTGAGCGGGCAGGTGCGAGAGGCAAAGAAGAAGGCACGAGCAGGCGCAGGTTAGGCCCAGTTGGGCAATGATGGATGCCCACCCGCCACTCGAGGAAACTACGTGGTATGAAGTGCGTGCCTTGTGGTGCTATTTTAGAGCGCTGTCACGTCGTCCACAAGGCAGTCGCAACAGGGCCGCAGGGCCGGGAAGGATGAGAGCGTGAGGCTGTCCAGTCACAGTGCGTGGTGACTATTGTGGGGCCGCTCAAACAGGAAACACCTGTAATTACTGGGTGGTTGTTACCTTGTGTCGCAGTTCAAGCAGGACGGAAACTGCAACTGGACAGGCTAGAGATGGCAAGATGCAGAAGAAGGAAAGAACGAACGTGATCGATCAGTTTATCAAGAAACGCAAAGTATCGTCATTCGAGGCGGTTTTGCCCTCTCCTTCAAGAGCCATCCAGCAACGTCAAGTATCTGTCATCCACTCCATACTTTGTTCTTGGCCAAGCCACTCTCAAATGTGGCAGAGCCGAGCCTTCCTCGCCACATCGCAACCCACCTCCGCCAACGATCCTGACGTAGTCGTCGCCTCTTGAATAGTGTGGACTTGGGTGGTGAAGGGGTAGGGAGGATGTGGAGGGCACCGACTCTGAGAGCCATTGTGAGCGGCTTGAAAGGGCCTGCAAGGCTGGGAGATTTTCTATTTTTTTTTTCGGCGGTCTTTCCTGCTCCCTGCTGCCTCAGTCTACCGCTGCCGATTGCGTAGGCCCGTCGACGCATTCTGTTGGCAATAAGACAGGCTGCCTCCAAAAGATGTTGAAGCAGAGCGGTGTTCTAAAACGGGCCGACGGGCATACAAACGACTCAAATGCAACAATATGATCGGCTCCCTCTCGATCATACCATCTCCTGGACATCTCGTCATTCATTTTAGCCTGTAACATCGACTTGTGCTGGAATCAGTGGCTATTGCAAAGGCCGTTCAATGCCACTGGTCTACTACAAATTGAAAAGGTAATGAGACAAGCAGAGGCCGTCCGTACAGATGGGGAGCCATGGACAGAAGAAAAGAGTCAAGGCATAAGTCGGGAATACTTCAAAAATAAATTAAAGGAATAAATATGACATTAAAAGATACATAAGTGATGCCGATTTTCCTAATATTTTGTTATCATGTCATTATTTCAATAAATTCATATTAAGTTTTGGAAAAGTAAAGGAAAAAAAAGAAAAAAAGACCAGCTACGATTTAGCTACAGAAATATTGCAGAAATACATAGTAATCAAGCAGAACAAGCAATGAAGTGAAGCCTTTCGAAAAATGTATGAATCCAAAGCTGTCTTGGAGCACAACACAGCTCTCTCAAAACAGTAGGAGCCAATGACGGACGGCGGGAAAATCTTTGTTGCGACCCACCTTCCTCTGGGGAAGCTTTGCGCTGTCGTGCCGTGCTTGCCCCATTGAATGCGGACTACGGCTGGAGCTCGCCTGCCATTGACTTGTGCGATCGCGTTCAGATTGAAGCCAGTTCTCCCACGACGAACCTCAACACCAACCCCCGTCTGCGTCCTCTACCCGCCGTCGTCTCGTTTTGGCCAACCTCCACCCCCAATCTTCGCTTCTGTCTGCCCACCGGCCCAACAGCACCCCACCATGGCCGACGTCGACATGGAAATCGACGACGTCGCGCCGCCGGCGACGGGCGTCAACAACGGCAACGACAACAGCAACGACAACAGCAACGACAACAGCAACGACAACGGCGAGGCCGCCGCCGACGGCCCGCGGAGTGCCGACATGCAGACCCATGCCAAGGCCACGGCCGTCCGGTCCATTGAGGGCTGGATCATTGTCGTGACCAACGTCCACGAAGAGGCCGATGAGGAGGCCCTGCACGACATGTTTTCCGAGTTTGGCGAGATTAAGAATATGCACCTCAACCTCGACCGCCGCAGCGGCTATGTCAAGGTAGGCCCGACCCTGTTTTTCTGTACCTACTTGTTTTGGTTGGCCCGCTCGCTCACACCCGCCAGGGCTACTGCTTAATCGAATACCCGACCCTCAAGGAGGCGCGTGCGGCCATTGACGGCGCGCACCAGACGAAGCTGCTGGACCAGACGGTGCAGGTGGACTTTGCGTTTGTGCGTCCGCCGCCGGCCAAGGCGCGCAACGATCGTGACCGTGACCGCGACCGCGACCGGGACCGCGACCGCGACCGTGGAGGCCGCAACGACCGGACCCGCGAACGCAACGACAGACACGACAGACACGATGGCGGCGACCGCGACGGCGCGCGGGATCGGAGTCCAAGCGAGGAACACAGACGCGGCCCGCCGGGTGGCCGGACAGGCCGCAGCCGGAGTAGGAGTCCAGGGGCCGAGGCTGGCGCGTGAGACAGGGTGGGCGAGATGAGGATCAGGGTCGGGACCATCATACAATGAGACGAAAAGCGGAAGGGCGGCTGGCGTTTTGATTTAATGTTTTATTTTCCTTTCATCTTTATTTTATATACAAAATCACCGGCGGGACGGCGCCTCTCGGTATCGAAAAGACATTTTATTTGTATCCGTCACTGGCAACAGAAACACTTCGCGTAGGCGTATATCGGCCAGGGTCATAATGAAATTACAATGTATAATGCTTTAAGAAAGTGGACAAATGAAGATGCTATCTAAGAATTCTTCTATTTGGGGTTCGCCCAAGGCCTCACGACAAAGATTGAGGGCCGCAGGTGCTTCCTCCATGAAATTTCCCAAAACAACGACGCTGCCAATATGCAAGAATATAACGGACAAGGAACATGTGAAACTAAAAAAAAAGTATAATGGCAGTCTTAACACAATGCTGAAAGGAAAGAATATTGAAGAAAGATGACAAGACGTAGCCCAACCAGTTCACCTGCCATATGCTTAGCGGGCATACTGGTTTTCGGCACCACCATATGTCTCTGGCGGAACTTGCTGCATTTGCTGCATCTGTGGTGCCTGTTGTATGGGCTGTATAGGTTGCACTGGCTGCAATGGCTCGACCTGCTGCATGGGCTGTGGCGGGGGCAAGGACAGAGACGGTTTCCGACGGCCGATGCTGAGAAGCCGCTTGATTCCCGTTGGCGCCGTAGCCACTTTCCCACCACCCATCGCCCCGGCCACAGGGTCGCTCTCGTACGTATACCACAGCCTGGGCACAACCAGTCGGTACGGCACTGTGATGCCCGACGGGTCCTTGGGGTTGACCTCGACGTTGAGCCGGATGTCCAGGCCGCCCTCGAGGTTGACCTCGTACTTCTCGGCTTTCTTCATCTGCCGGGCCGTTAGGCCCGTCGGTGTGCGGTAGAACGGTCGCGTCGGTGGTCCCATGCTGCCGCCCATGCTGCCGTCGGCGGCATCCGACATCGTCGGCAGTGTGCCGCCCGAGGCTTGCGGGGCCCGCTGCTGCTGCTGATGAGGTGCAAAACCTGTAGCACCCATATCGGGAGCCGTCTGGCTGCGCCCGGGACCGGCTGGGCGCCTCTTGACTGAAAAGTAGCCCTCGTCGCCGTTTTCGTACTCGTCGTAGGCTTGGCTGGCCAGGTCAGACGGTGAGCCCGCACCGCCGCGGATGCGAGCCTGCTGCGATTGACCACCCGACGCCGGCGCACCGGGCACATCTTCCTCACTGCTAATCGTACTCTGGTCATCTGGGTACTGGCCGGGGTGTACACCCCGACGACGAGACTGGTCGTATCCGCGGCCATGGCCCTGGCCGTGGTTGTGGCCTTGCCCGTTTGCGTAGTTGACAGGGATCTTGCCCGGAATAGGTGGCGCACCCGACTGCTGCTGCTGCTGCTGCTGCTGTGGTGGTGGGTACCGTTCCTGCTGATAGGCCTGTTGGTTCGCCGCCTGTTCGTATTGTTGTTGCGGCAGCGCCTCCTCACTGTCTGGGCCCCAGCTGCCGTTGATGCCGCCATCATCTGGTCTTCTCTGACGACGGCTGCTGAGACGGCGGAACAAGTTGGAAGGATTCGCGCGTGCCAGGGAGAACGATCGGCGCACACCGTTGTTAGGCACAACGGGACGCTGCACAGAGTCCACGGACTGCCTGCCGCGGCTGAACCGCCGGAGAAGGCTCCCACCTCCACCGGATATAGGGGGCCGTGACAGATCGCCGTTGTTGCCGCTGTTGCCATTGTAGGGGTTGCGACGGAACGAGACGGTCCGCATGAAGAAGTTTCCGCGGCTGCTTGTCGACATGTCGTCCGCTGCAACGTTGAGGCCTGAGTGCTGGAACGCTGGATCTGGATTATCTCCTGGTGCATAGGGCTGGATCGAACACCAGTTGCGGTGGGGCAGCAGGGTCTTGTTATTTCTTGGCTTGCCGTCCACGCCGTGACCAAAGAGCGGGATCATGTCCTCGTCCGTCTCCTTGTCAAAGTGGTGGACCTTGTTGCGCTTGTTGAGGATGTCGGCCATGATGTCTGGTGGCGGCGTGTTGGCAATTGCGGACGAGATAACGTTGGGCATGTACCGGAAATCCTTGTGCTTCGCCAGGCCCTGCTTGGAATTCGAGTAGAACTGTCCAATGGCTGCCAAATGGACGTCGCCACTGTACAAGGAGACATGCTTAGTATTTTTATGTTGGGTTTGTTTTTTGCACGGGCGCATCGAAAGTGAAAACTCACCTGAGAATGGTTATGCGCACCGAGCGGTCAGCCGCCAGGTCTTGCAGGTCTTCAATGACAACCTTCCGCTCGTCCTTGTGGTTCTTGGCCGTCCAGTGGTCGTCAAGGTCGTCGAGGATCTCCACGCCGCCGTCAAAATGGTTGAGGAAGTTGCCGAGGATGCCCGTCTTGCCAAGCAGCTTGACGGGCTCCATAAGCCGAGACGTCAGGATGTTCTCCAGCCAGACAAGGCGTGGATAGGCAATTGGAATGCCGAGCTGGACGAGAAGATGCTCGGTCTGGCCCTTTTCGATCTCCTTGTAACACCGGTCGACGATGCGCTTCCACGTGTCTTCACGAAGAACCTCCTCTCGCGTCCGCTCCGTGCGGCAGTCGACGGCCAGGAGTGCCACCTTCGCGCCAAGATGCATAAAAGTACTGCGGCTGACCTCGTTGATGTAGGGGCCAGGGGTCTGGCCCAGAATCCAGCTCGGCTCCGACTCCTCCGTCTCCCCAATCACGCTCTGGTGTTGGAACAGCATATAGTACTTGAAAGCGACGTTGCCCAATCCAGCGAAGACGGGAGACTGCATAAAGTGTTGCGGGTAGGAGCCAAATCCATCAATAATGTCATGGTCATCGTACATGTTGACCATGGGAATTTGCGAGTTGGCCAAGGAGAAGAGGCCCTGTGAGAACCACATGGCATAGCGGTTGAGGTAGAACTCCTCCATCTCGTCCTGCATTTCAGGGGTAAATGGCATGTTGCCCTTTGTGAGGGGGTTGCGGATGGTGAGCCACTCCTGGAAGATTGTCGTTTGGTTCATGATGGCGTCGTTGTAGAGCTGATCGCCACCGCCAATCATCACATGGAAGGGCTGCGTCTGGTGGTTGTTGAGGACGTCGCGCCACATCGGATCCGGGCCGCTAAATTCGTCCGGCTTGACACTGAGGCTGAAGCCGTTGCACGAGTAGAACATAATGTGCATCGACTGGCCCTTGGCCGGCACCCAGAAGCCGGTGGCCGGGCCACGATTTATGCGGTACGCGATCCGCTGCTGCTTGTCCAGCAGTTCGACCTCAATGTTGAATCGCCAGAAAGTCACGCCGCGCTCGAAGTGCAGCCGGAAACCACGAACGTCCTTGAATTTGCCCGCCTTTTCTCCGTCCAGGTCGGTCTTTTTCAGGCGATCCGCAAACGAGCCAGGCAAGTCCACGGCCTGGCCTGCAGGGCCTACGCCGTCCACAGGGCTCTTTGTCTTCTCAAACAAGCCCTCGTCGGACTCATCGCGGGACAGATCCTTGGCTTGCTCAAGGTGCTCGACAGGACGCACATAAAGAGTCTCGCCGTTGCGGCCGAGTTTGGGATGCCCAACGAGGGGATCCACGTACTCGGGCGACAGAGTACCTTCGACCTCGCTCGGTGGCGGCGGCAGCACATCAAGGGGCTGCGAAAACAAGCGGAGTGTCGGGGCGATTTCGTACGACGAGTCGGTGTCGCGAGTGACGATCATGACGCTGCCGCGCCAGAACTCGCGCTCGGCTATCTGGTTGCGACTTCCATTGCGGGCGCCCCGCGAGGGAGAGCGCTCTTTGCGCATACCACAGTATCGTAGCAATGGTCCACAGACAAGGTGTAGAGGCGGCTTGAAGCGTGATGGGCCGTTGGCCTCGTCATACTCCCCGTCAAATGCCTCGCCTTTCCTAGGACGGGGCGGTGCAGTGGAGGCGCTGCCGCGGCGCTTGCTCTTCTCCCACCAAGCCTTGTCTCGGTCAGCAGACGGCGAGGTCTTGTCGGACAAGTCCAGGAGACCGGCTGCGAGGGTACCGACGGTCCCTTGTTTCCACTCGTCTAGGTAGTTGGGCGGGTTGTATTTGCCCTGGCCCGGTTGCAGGTTGTTACGTGCGCGGTAGACCATGTTGGAAAAGCGGTGGTGGTGGGGGTCGTCAAAGTGCCTGTCGCCACGAGTAGGTAGACTTGGCTCTGGCTCGTTGTCAATCACGTCCTGGCCGAATCGAGCCGTCCTCTTCAATGGTGCGTCGGCTGAGGATTCAGCAGCAGCGGCAGACGCAGCGCCTGATGCACCCGCAACACCCGTGACACTAGCGGCGACTGCGTCCTCTGCAGCATTATTGTTGACGCTGTTGTCGACAGGACTGTTGTACGAACCATCAAAGGTTCCGTTCGCTGCTTGCAGGACAGCGCGGTTCGGATAGGAGCTATTTGCAGGTGCTTTCCGCTGGCTTGGTGATTTCACTAATTTTGCTGGCTGTTGCGGGGGAAACTGGTATGTCGAGGCCTGCGGAGCCGGCGGTGGCTCTTGTTGAGAACGACCTCGTAAAAGGGCCGCATCAAGGTCGGTGGGCATGGTTCTCGGGATGGCTTCAGCAGGAACTCCACCTGCCGGGGGTTGCGCGCTGTGCGGCTGGGCTGCCGGGTATGCATTCTGTGGCTGGGTATACCGCAAGTCGCTGGGCGGTTCCTTCTGCAGCTTCCCGGAGCGTGCGCTGTTTTGTCTGTGGGGAACTGCATTGTTTGGAGCCACGGCTTGCGTGGGAAGGGTAGGCGACTGCTCATCAGCCTGGGGCAGTCTGACATTGCCATGCGCGGCTCGTTCGCGGAAACTGAGATTGCGCTGGGGGATACCCGACCCGGACGGAACAATGCGTGTCTGCTGTGGAAGATTGCGAGGCTTCTCCGAGTCGGGAGGCGGCGGCGGAGGTGTGCCATCGGTGTCATACTGAGGCGGGTTGCCTCTCTGCGCAGAGGCGGCGGCGGCGGCAGCAATTGGCAGGTAACTCTCCTCAACGGGGCTCATCTCGGGCTGCAGAAGAGGTCGAGGTTCTCCATCAATGGCCGGCGGTGCACGGTCCCGGAAGCGGACCTGCTGTTGCTGTGGTTGATGCTGCGGCTGTTGCTGCTGTGGTAGGGGCTGCGGCTGTGGCTGTTGTTGACGCGCGGGTTGATGCGGTCGCGCTTGCGATCTCGCCTGCTGGGCGTATTGTTGACTGGATTGCTGCCGCTGTTGTTGAGACCCTGCCTCTGTACGACGGCGCTCCTTCTCTCGAGCCGCTTGTTCAGCAGCAGCAACGCGTGCGCGTTTTTCTTCTTTTGTAATGCTGTCGAGCGTTAGCTCAAGCTTTTGGAGGGGCGAGCGGACTTCGTCGAACTTTTTCTGGGTGCGGTCGGCCGGGCTGCCGCCGGTGGACACGCGACGCCGTGGCGGCGCAGTTCCGCTGGCATCTTGTGGTGCTGCAGAGCCGAGACCAAGGCCAGTCTCGGTGCCTGACTGCGACCGCCGTGGTGTTGTTGCTGAGGCTGGTTGCGGCCTGGCGCCACCGCTAACCGACGGGCGCCGGCGCGTTCCTGGGCTGGCGTTGGGATCGACGGGATTGCGGGAGCGGCCGTCGCCAGCGGTGCGTGGTGCAGGTGCCGCGACTGGCGCAGACACGTAGTATTGGCCGGGACCATCGACGGCCATTGCGTCGACGGAGAGCGACACCTCGGGCCGCTGCATGCTTCGGGGCGTATGGGGCGAGCTGGAGGACACTGGCGGGTAGGCAGAACTGGCGACGGCGTAGCCAGGCGGTCGGTAGCTCAGGGGCGGGCCACGCGGGACGTCGGGTGCCGCTGGAGGAGGATCGACACCCTTGTCGAGGTCGTCAAGCGGCTCCTGGCTGCCACGGAACGTGTCGTCGTAGCCGACGTCCTCGCTCTGGTCGCGACTGTCGCGGCGTCTGTTGTTCCGGTCAAAGCTACGATCGGCGCTGTCTTGCGACAGCTGTCGCTGGTGTCGCTGGCTCGGGCGGTTGAGGCTGGCGGCGGCGGCGGCAGCAGCAGCGCCGTTGTAGGGAAATGAAGGAGGGCGCGGAGCGAGGCCTTGGTCGGGAAATTGGGGGCTGGTGGGCGACACGAACGGGCTCATTGTGGACTCGGTCGGCGCATCGGTATTTGTAGTGTGTGCTGTCTGGATGGACGCGCGGTTCGGCTTGGGCTGCAGCTGGGCCATCGTGTCCAATGACGGGAGACGAGCGTGGCCCTGTGGTTGGGTCTGACCGTCGGGAGCTGTCAGGCCTGAAGGAGCGGCAGACGGGCCATTCCTTGCCTGACCAGCGGCTGCTTCTGCTGCTTCTGCTGCTTTTGCATCTCTTGCTTTTTGGACGTCTCTTGCGTCTGGCAAGTTTCCCCAGTACGGCCCCATGTCTTGGGTTTTTGGTTAGGCGGTCGAGGGGCGAGGCAAAAGTATGGAAATAATTACAGAGAAGCAGGGAGAGGATTACGACACTGCGAATCAGAGACCTGCAAGGGAGGGGGGACACTGCGGGAGTCGGCTGCTTTGGACCGCAGATCCTGAGGTGCAGGCGTCGATGCTCGTTTCTTGGTTGTGTCAGGGGATTATGTCGAGTCGAGATGCGATGTTGTTTTTGTTTTGCCTGCAGCAGGTGAAGCTATATGGCGGCAAATGAAGGGGTGCCCAGGTAAACTGCCATAACTTGGGCAGGAACGCGAAAGCAGTAACAAGGGAAAGTGCGAGGGCGACGAGATGCAGAAATTAGGAAGGCGCATTTGGATGAAAGCAGAGCGAGAGGGAAGCAGCGAGAAAGCCGGACAGCAATAACGAAGCTCTCACAGAAACGCACACAACAAAAAAAAAAAAAAACAACAGAGCTGGCAGGAGCAATCGAAAATCGGGAGGTTGAAGACGGCCAGGGGGTGCTTTCTTTCCTTCTTTCCTTCTCTCTCTTTCCTGGGTTTCCACAGTAGCGGCCTCCCAAATCGCGCCTGCCACTTGGTGCATCCCCTGGTCGCAACGACGGCAGCTACGTTCTCTGGTGGAGACGTGCGGAGGCTGGCAAGAGCGACTGGCTTCCTCGAAGCTGGCTGCAGAGCTCCATCGACACCGAAAGCTGCACATCCCCTGCTCCTTCCGTCTTCGAGGCCTCTTACGCAAACAGAGCGAGACAAGAGGCGCAACGGGACGGGGCACTGCGTAATACGGCGTAAAACAATGTGTCTTTCCGATACGAGAAAATGCCCAGCTTTTGGTGCCCTTGGTAAAAGTTGTTCAACATGTGCAATTTGCTTGTCTGTGAGGTGGTGTGTTGGCTGGCTGGCCCCTCAAACGTCCAAAAGCAAACGGTGTGGCCGGGACCAGCCGAATGACGCCCTATCGCTTGAGTTAGCGGGCGCAGTCTCGGTATAAACAGTGCTAATACAGGCGGCATTGGAGCCTATTTGCGGTGACCAACACTGTATAAAATACAGAGTAGTCCAACAAAGAAACAGAACAGACCGCCAGTTTACGAGATATGCTTCTAGAACACTGCAAAACGCGCTTGTATGGTGTCTTATAGCCAAGGATACATAAACGTGCCATGCCAGGAGCCGTGCCGGTCATTCTTGACGCTGCCGGACTCGACTTTTCTCACGACCTCCCATTGGCGCCCAGAATGGCCCAGAGAAAAGTGTCGCTGGGAGAGTGGCCACGGCTTCTCTTGTTCCCTTCCATGACGGGCGGACTTGATGCCGTGCATGTGTGTCGCTGTCGTACTCCGTATAAGGGTCCATCCTTCTCAGACATAGCTATACTCACTCACCGTCTTTTCCACGCTGGTTCGCACTGCTGTATGAACCAAGACGAGCAGATGTGACTGCGGCGTCAATACAAGCAGATGCCGTGTGTCCTGCCTGTCCTCAACAGACGCCCATGGCAGGTCCGTCGCTAGCAGTGAGACACTGATTACATGTGGTTTCTCGATTCCAGCTAGTACGATTTCTTCCTGCAGCGGAATGTCGTCATGAACATTCCAGTCTCAAGACACTGTACCAAACTGGCGGATCTCGAGATCTCGCCGACCCAAATGGAGACAGACAGTGACGATGAGACGTCGTATCTGCCAGTTATTTCTGATTGTCCGCCCCCAGCAACCAAATGGTGCCCGTGGGAATGTACAACGTCCGCCGTACGACTTCTATTTACTAGTACTCACATTTCTTCTTTTCCTGCGACTTGAATGCGAAACGTCTCGGAGCACTATGAGGGGTCGCTCTCTAATCGAGCGCTGGTACCCAAAGTATCGTTTCCTGTCGCTGGGTTGGCCGGATGACTAAGCAGTGGGACTGCGTACGTCACTGGACAAACTAACAAAGCGGTGCGGCATGCGACCACGTAATTGCTCCGTAGTCTACGAAGTATTTCGTATGGCTCACATGAACTATAATCGTACAATAAAAAACTCGGATCATGTGACTAAAACGCCATCCTTTTAAGGACTAACGGGTCCGCTTTTCTCGTGACCACGTCGAAAACGCGCCGCGCCCTCTTTTTTGTTTACTTTTGCCCGTATCTATCACTATAATCCTCCGTTTGTATAATCTGTACGTTCTTTTACTCTTATCGTTTTTCGGTAATTGAACTACTATGGAAGACGGTATGTAGATTATTTTTATGTTATTTTTTCGACCGTCTTTTTATATATATGGTTAACTTTTCTTTTCTTTTTTAAGATATTATAACGTTTTACCGTCGTTAAAAATCGGTACCTCTTTAAAACCTTAACCGTTTCTCGACCCCTCCTTACCTTTCGACCCTCTCTTTTTACCTTTAAACCCTCCTTTTTTATCTCTCGACCTTTCTTTTTTACCTTTCGACCTTTTTTCCGGTAACCTTATTAAAAGGTATTATTCGAAATATTAAATAATATAAGATATTACCGAATTCGGGTTTTTATAAAATAGTAAGTAAAAAAGGATTTATATAAAGTATAAAAAAAACGTTTTACTTTTAAATTAAACGTTTAAAAGGTTTTTATTAAAAGTTATAAACGTAAAAGTTATTAATATATTTTTTTACTTAATTATTTATTCTTTTTTATTTTTTTTATAATTAATATAATTAAAAGAATAATAAACCTACGTTTATTAATATATTATTTATTATCGACCGTTTACTTATCCCCTTTTTTTTTCTCTCGTTAAATTAATAAAATTTAAAAGAAAAAAAAAGACACTCGAAAACGACGTCTCGTAAGTTATTTTAACTTTAATCGATACTATTTAATAGATTAATAATTATCGTTTTTTTTAAAAATAACTTATAAAACTTATATTTCGTTTACGTTTTATTTTTATTATTATTAAAACGTAAATATAAAATAAAAAAATAAAAACGAGAGTTAATAAAATAAAAGAAGTTTTAAACGTTACGATTATAATAATCGTTTAACGATTAAAGTATATTATATTAAGTATACGTTTATACTCTCTCTCCGTTACTATTACTATAAAATATATATAAATATTAATCTTAAACTAAAAGTCTTAAAGTATATCGATATACGGTTTAACTTTTACACTCCCGTAAAGATTTATTACGACTTTATTATTAATAAAGTGTTTAATATAAGTCGTATAACCCTTTTTTAAGTTTATTATTAGTAAAGGAAGGTTAATAAAAATCTTTAAGTACGAGATTAAAATTAATACGTTTTTATACTATTACTTTTATTAAAAAAAAACCGATAAATTCACTTTTAAAGAGTACGTTTATAATAATATAAAAGGGTTTGTTTTTTTTATAAAGAAATAATATAACCGTTTACTTTTATTATAAAAGAGTTTTTTATTAACGTTACTTTTAGTATAAATAACGTTAATATAAATTTATTTATTATTTTTACGAAGGTTAACGGGACTAACGTCTTTTTCGTATACCTTTTCTTCGAAATAATAAAAATAACGTTTAACGTTAAAAAGACCGACGTTAATACTACGGGGGTTATAATAATCTTTTTTTTAACTTTTATACGAAATAATAGTTTTATACCTTCGTTTTTTAGTTATAATAAAGATTAATTTAAAATTACGGTTATTCGTTACGTTTTCCCGGTTATTAAAGTATAGTTATATATTTAATATATAAAGTATATAATAAAAACGAGGTTAATAAGTATTAAAATAACGAGTTTATTATAATACTACCCTTTTAAAGTTTTATAATTCGTTTTTAATTTAAAGTCTTATTAAAGATCTTTATTAATACGACGGTTTAAAGGATTATATCGTAAAAGGATATATAGTTATACGTAACGTATTATTAATATATTAAAAAACGTTTCGTTAAAGTCTTTATTTTTAAATAAAAAAAAAAACTATATTTAAAATATTTATACGTTACTTTAACGTATACCCGTTAATATTAAACGGTAACGGGACTCGTTATAACGTAAAGTTTATTTATAAAGTATACGTAAACGAGATATACGGGTGGTGTCGAGTTCGTAACTACTTTAAACTTTAAGTTTATATATATTTTAACTAATATAAGTAAAATTATTAGTCTTTATAAACTCGTTTTATAAACGTCGTAAAGATTTTTATTTTAAAAACGATTATAATTATCGAGTCTTATTAACGTCGGATTAAATACGACTTTTTATATCGTTTTAATCGATTATATTATTATAATCGATTCGTAGTCGAAGACCACGAATCAAATGACTAGACTTACATAATAGGGCGTAGTGTGGCTGGTCCCCAACCACACGTTAACGCCACGTTAATGAGAAACCTTTTCTCCTTAAATAAAAGGACTCCCTTCTTCCCACTAGGAAGAAAGGGTAAGAATTAGTCTTTATTATAATATACACTTACCTTCGTCCTTAAAACTAATACTTTTTATTAATTAATCTATTATAAAGACTTATTTTACAATCACTTATAATAATTTTAATTCTTCTCTTTACGGATACCTTTTTACGATAGTTGGAAGAAGAGAAGTGATAAACTTACTCTCCGTTAGGTCGAGCCGAGTTACACGTTCGTACTTACGAGGCCTTACGAGTCTCCCGTAAGTAAACGTCGACCTTATCCTTGAAAACTTTAACTTATAACTAACGGTCGAAGACCCGATCGGATCTTCGGGTACTAGAGTAGTGATAATAGTACCGACTAGTGGAGAAAAGGGAGAAGAAGGTGGTAAGATTAATACTATTACGGAAGAATAAGTCGAAAAGAAAGACGACGAAGAAAAAACGTTTAAAAAAAGGTTAACGACGTTTAAAAAGAAACGAGTTTTCGAAGAAAGGATCGTGGTTTTAAAAGATACGAGACGTTAATAAGTCCCTCGTTAAAACGAAAAGATTAAGGATAAATTTATTATTATAATCGATTCGTAATTAAAGGTTACGAATTAAGTGACTA